ATGTAATGTAAATCAGGATTTTCGTTTTCGCCGTGCTGTCATTCACTATCCATGGTCTTTTGTAGGATACTCTCCTTATAACATTGTCGAAACATTTTCAACCTCGCTTTTGATGAATTGAGTTATGACAAAATTCATCAGAACACGATTAAATGAAAAGAGTCGTCAGATCGTTCATCTGTATTTTCATCTGTTTGTTCTGAAATAGAAGTAACATTATAGGTGTCTTCCCACTTCGCCCCTTCTAAATTTGCACCTACAATATCCCCTTTTCGTCCTTTCTCCGTTTCGCCCTAGTCACCATATTGCAACTTTCCCATTCCGCCCCACTCACCCCTTTCCTAGTTCGCCTCTTACCCATTTGTCCCTTTCTACTTCGCCCCTTCCTTTTTAAATAATACAATTATGCTTGTTCCGATATAAATCTATTTTGGTTCTATGGTTTTAGAAATTAGATAAGAGTTGAGTGGAATGGCAAAACTTTCAAACCACAAAGAAAATTAAGATTAGTGTTCAATCACTTCAATTAGTTGAAATTATATGTTACTGTTTTAGGGCTGCCTACGCCTTTTCTAAAGTTTTCACATTTCAATTTAATTGCAATCCTTTCTGTATTCAACTTACTCTTTAACTGTTGTAAATGCAATGGAAAATCTGAAAGGGGCGAATTATGAAAAGGAGCAAACTGGGGAAAAAGGCGAAGTGGGAATGATGGGCAGAATGGGAAGGGGGCGACATTTTGAAAGGGGCAAATTTGTGGAAACGGAATGTCCATCTTTCAGTTCATAATCGCAGTATAGAGCAGTTTATTAGTATGGTAGTTATATTTTGAGAGGTTGGGAATATTACTAATGACTGAATTACAGTCAATTGTCATTTTAGTGGTTACACGAACGATATGTTTCAAAGGATGGTCATTCATGCCCCTGTTATTCATTGATAATTTTAGCTATCGTCTGATTGATACTGCCAATAAATCCGTACAATCGAAACAGTCAAAATCTCGTCCAAAGCATGGTAAAATCCAGAGTAAAAGTAGTACAGTAGTGGACTCCTCCAAAGAGAAGTACCATGAGGTGTTTCGAAAATAATATCACACATCCTCATGCGAAAACGATTTATACTTTATATTAAATTTAACTTTTAAACCGAATCCAGAAAGATTGATATACATATGATTTATTGAGAACCAAATTGATAAAAGGTTATTTATTGTATGTAATATACTTTGTATATTATGTTATTGCGGAAGTAGATCTAGCCGTGTTTGTTGACTCGGTTAACATACTGTTTGTTTTTCGTCTATATTTATTATTGTAGAAGTAGTTACTGTGACATCAAATACACAAAGTCCCAGAAATATTCTAAAAAATGCAGTTGGGGTACTTCATGGGGACGATGGTTTCAATGTACAAAATACAGGTACAATTTAATACATTGACGGATTGTATATTTCATAGTTGATATTCTCACCTCAGTGGTTTCTGTAAAGCTGTCCTAGCAACATTTCCTTTGACGCCGGTTGCATGTTATCATTATTAGTCGGATTTACAGTCAAAAGTAATGCGCGAGACATCTTGTATAGTCCGCCAGTATACGTTACATCTAGTCGTTTGAATGTGACAATAAACCGATGCCCCGTGTGCTTAAATCAGTTAGATTTCGAAAAAGAGTAGGTTAATACCGCTGTACTGGCAAAATGTCCCTCATTACACACTGCATGACGTTGCCCGTCTTCATTAGCCCAATTAGGTACAGAAAAGCATGACGTAAAAACTCCATTTCTGAATTGCAGGATTGTGGAAAAATATAAGAAAGGTTGTTGTCGTGGTTGGACAAGTTCTGGATGCGGTAAAGGTAATTATGAGTGGTTCAAGTTTAATTCGATTTATATTTATATTGGAATAGATGTTGGATATTCTTATATGAATAAAATCAAATATACTTTAAACAAAAAGATTTATATGATAATATGAATGAGTCATTTTTTTCTTGAAATATGTATTACTTATTTAAAAATATTTATGTATTTTGTATTATTGCGTATTATGAGCGACACGAGTTTGTTTAACCTCGAAGACATACGTGTGTAATCTAAATCATAACGGATCAATATACCACACCGTTTAGAAATGTGCTTATATTGCTTTATGACATTATGGAACAATAAACAAACATTAGGGTAATTAAATGTCTTTTTGTATTAAACCGGACTCAACTTTGCATGGCTTGCATGTATTGCAAGTTAGGTCACAGATTTGCTTACATTAAGGACATATTACATCGTATACGAACAATTAAGTTTAGGGGGGTGCACCATGATTGCGTACCATGCCAGTTTTACATGTACTTGCAGAATAAACAAACAAGTTTATATCGTAAAGTATTTTGATATATTGTGATTTGACCAGACCTGACTTTGTATGATTTGCGTCTTATTGCTGGTTATGTACACCATACAAATATTAAAAGCCCACCTTTACAATATTTATTATAAAATTGATATGAATATGTAATAAATTTATCGTCTCTATTTAATTTGTTTTTATCGTTTATCATTTCAAATGCAACTTGACACACCCTGTCATATCATAGAAAATAATAAAGTGAAAATGTAAGTTATTTCCTTGACATTCCTCTTCAATTGAAATATAATTTAAACATTATATCGTGGAGATGCATGCTATGAGAAAATCATCTCCACCATTCTAAAGTTCCATTGCAAAGAAAATCAAAATGATTGAATTTTAAAAAAGGGACGAAGCTTGATATACAGAATATAATGTATCTTGAGTCATGTTTTTTAGTACCTGATCTTTAATGACATTATTACTGACTGGCGACTTCCTGGAAACTGACAGCTCTCAAATCTGGTCGAGGACCTTGTATTATTTATCTTAATCTGTCGGATTGTTTCTGATATATGTAACGGCCAGACCAGCTAGTTACTTATTAAACTAATGCGGCTTTTGTAATGTTGTTTTCATTATACACTTTCTTTTCAGACGGAAATGTCAATGGACAAATGGTATGCAATAGAAATTTGCGATGAAAAGTCACACAAATTACGACTTGGAAGTGCTAGAATTTAATATATCTTTGGCTTTTACAGTCGCCACCGGCTTATCTGTCAAAGATAATTGTACAATATTGTTAACGTAGTAATAAATGAATTATGAATATAAAGTGTGTTATAATGCCATAAAGTTTTAAGACCTATTTTATGTCACAATATATACACAGTTAACACAAATGTGTTGCAAAGATATAGCGTAGATTTGTACTTAAATGGGGAATGTTGACCTGGTTTATTGTACATCTCAGATGCATATCTTAATAATTTTGCGATTACATTTTATGTAGCCACACACAATACGAAAATACATCCCCAGACACTGCTGACACTAAGTCTTTTAAACAATAAATACAAATACAACTTTGCTGTCTATTAATGGAGCAGACTATATAGCACAACCGATACTACGCATAAATGAGTAGTCAGCTTGGCACCTCTTTAAACAATCCATGTAGCTTATAGTGCTTCTCATTGTGTCATGTTGATAATATTTTGCAGCGATATGCGGAGGAAAGGTAGATCCAGGAGCGTGTGATCGATATTTTCCCGATTCTCATATTGTTTTGGCCAATAAAAGTATCGACACAAACAGCGGTGGTACTTGCAATCAACCTAATAAATGTGAATGTGATAAAGCAGGATTCTTTTCTGTCGGCACCCATTGTGACAGTAAGTAACGGGAATTTTTATGATTTTTTGTTGGAATTGTGACAAAGCCTTTACGTGTTACCTACAATGATGTGTTAATACTAGACTGTCATTAGGTGTTGCACAAGACCATCATCTTATAGTCGACAGTAAAGTATATGATGGACAAAAGACCTTTACATGATTCCACTTCTCTAACAAACAACGATGGATGAATACATTGACGAAGGAAAATGGAACTTGTAAAGCCGTTTCAGAAATCAATATTGTGATCTGGAATATTGTACAACTAAAACGAACTATTTATTTCAGTCTGTTCAGCTATAAATAATTGTGATCTGGAATATTGTACAACTAAAACTAATCAACTCTGTCATAGATGTGAAGGGTTTGTGGCAAATATGACTGGACGTCAGGCTTATATACGATCGATGGACCACAGGCTTTGCACAAGTAAGTCCACCTTCAGCTTCTATTGTGAAACAGAAATGTGCTTTGGAAACTAGAGAATAGGTTCTTTGATTACAATCTACTGATAATCCAAGATCAACCATAACGTCATGTGATACGTGCTACTCATGTTCTCCTTAACCGATTCCTTTAGTAATATGTCTTAGTGTGTTTTAATTTACTCCACAAAATTTTGTTGTGTTTGTGACTACTTGCAGTGCGTTTTTTTTTCAACTTCTACAATTTTATTTCAATCGATCTAAAAATTTACATGTAGATAGACATTTTAATTGCGAACAAAATTCTGTTCTTAAAATTTTTATATCACTTCCGGTTTTAACGCCATTCGCTCTTAAAGTTGAAATTTCAACTTCCGGAATTTTGCAACTTGTTAGAATTGTTTATATAAAAGATTTGAAACGATAAAATTCGCCCCGGAAGTATAAGATCAGCCGCCATTTTGAAGTGACTAAATTTTCTTTTTCATTTTTTGAATCGGGGATTCGGATTTACATCATTTCAATGTCTATACCATCAGCAATCGATTCCTAACAAAAGTGTAGGCTGATTTTTGAATTTCGATTTTACTTTTTAGTTATTTCCGGTAGATTTTTTTTCAATATAGACCAAAACTTTCAAGGCTCATATCACGTGACCTTGACTTTTGGTGACCTTGTGACAAGAACAAAGGTTGTTGCCTTAGACGAGATCTATCCAAAAATATATCTACTTTTGTCAAGCGATATTCACTTCCGGTTCTAGAGCCAATTCGAAAATAGCGATTTTTATCTTTAAAGTGCTATTTAACACACGACATTATTTTTGATATCCTTAATGTACACGACCTATCCTTTCTGATAATATCTCACTTTTGATAAAATTTTGAAAATTTTGCACCGACTTTTATAGTAACTGTACGTAATTTGGTTTTTGTCGTATAAACTCAAACTTTTCACCTATAACAACTAATATCTCATGATCTCATAATTGTAATAATTGTTGATCTATTGGTGATTGTAGAAGCCTGTTCATGGAGACCTGATAGCTCAAGATGTTTTCCTGGTATTTGTAAAGATGATCTATACGCAAATTGTAATTGTTCTAATGGATTTACAGGAAATCACTGTGAGAAAAGTAAGTTGTTCACACGTCTTGACGTCGTTGCAATTTGTGGTAGCTTATCAATTTCATTGTGCATAGCTATATGTACCAAATCTTTCTTTGTAAAGTAAGAATGGGTATGTCGATTTTTCGGTTGTCAAACGGTTAATGCTTCTATAGTGATCCACAAATTGACATTTTTGAATTTGTTAAGTCTGTTTTAGATTCTCTGTTTAACATAGGGAGATGATATGATATTTATTCAGATTCATCTTTGTAGTACTCTTCAACAAGATATGACAACAAATCATAAAAAAAGAGTTTTTAAAATATTGAAATGGTGAAATTGCATAGCAGACATTCTGACTACTTATGTGTGGTTTTCATAATCCGAATCTACTCTCTATCCTCTAATTACAAATATGTGACATCGTTGGCTTAAAACAATATTTTATATCTTTTAATTTGTCAAAGTTGTATCCATGGATTGCATCATTAATATTATTTTTTTCATACCTTCATGCACTTGTATTGTGTGTTTTGCAGTTATGGCTAAACCAGAAATGTTGTACAATGAAGTGACATTAACTGCTGAAAATGGTGAAATGAGACAGACGCCAGAAGATGTCAACTCTGCACAACCTGAGCCGATATCCTGGACCAACTTACTCAATCCCGTTTCTATTCAATATCAGTTTCAGTCTCGATTTCTTAAACCTAATCCAGACCCTCGACATGCTTTTATAATGGAATTTAAAGCTGGTATAATCCATGGGCAAATAACCTTCACCAAACGTGAGTTTTTAATTATATTTAGTTTTATTTCTTTTACACCTTCCACCAAGTCTTGACACTATGCCATGCTCTGAACGATGTGCGTGCTCATCTAATAAAAGGACAGTCATATTCTCATCTAAATCCATCCAATGAGAATTGCAATGGAATAAAAGAAACAGAAATCGAAACTAAACGATAAGGAGAGTCTACAGGTACTGATATAATCCCGTTTTTGTTTTCAGTGAGGACTGTATGGAAATGGGTTGAGGTACCTGTTAATATCAGTATTGATGGAAACGCTATAGACTATGATAATATAACTGATGCTAGTGCCTTCAATCTTACTGATGACACTGATTCTTACTGTGAGTTAATGGGCATGAATGGTACTCAGTTTGTATTGAACGAAACTACCAATATGTTAATGAACAAAACTGATGTGTCAACAAATGGAACCGATTTGTCAATAAACGGAACTGATTATATCACAACTGATACAAACACAACATCATGTTCAATTTGGGTATGGAAACAAGTTAATGTAACGGAAACACAAACTGATATTTGTCCGGCATCAACCAGCAGAGATGACCCAAACCAAGCTGTATTTGCTTGTGCAAAACTTTTAGAAACAAATTTTTCTCAAGAGTTTCTACACAAAGATATGTAAGTAATCGACTCATGAAATCAGTTTATCATACACACATCTTTTTGAATAATTCAACATTATTCTCTTGGATTTCTACAATTTACATCGGCATCACTAGGTGGAATAGTGGTATAACAAAGATTGTTGGAATCATTTCTTTTTTAGGGACAAGAGGTCCCATCGAATTTCGTAGTAATATATAATCGGGAGCATTATGAATTTTTATCTTTAGGTTAGAGGTGAACATCACGTTAGTAGTTGGTGGATTTGTCAAGTTAACTAATTTTGAAACTGAGAGTAATGAAACTCATTATTTTGAAAGTAGTACTTTACAACATGTATATGAAATACGATTTGATAATGTACCTCCCTACCACTGTCAACCTGTATTAGATTGTAATCAAACCATGTTATCTGATATAGACGGGTCCCAACAGGTAACTATTCATCGACAAAACAGTATCAACTGATAAAATCATAATTAGAAAAACTGATGTATTGTGTTCAACAAACACAAAATCAGTGTCATTTTCTACACTCAGAAGATAAGTTGCTGACTGCTTGCTATCTATGATCGTCAAGCTCAACAAGAACGACTCCGAGGTCATTATCCAATTCAGCTGTATGATGGGTGCCACTACTTGAACTGGAAGCCAAATACACGGGACTGTACAGCGTAACGAACGCTTTTGACTGTCTCCCGAATTCATTCCCATTGTTTGATAGTTTTGATAGATATTTCGTCTTCTTAAAATGTTTTATGTAATGTGGTACGCATTCTCTGAATATGATTATTTTGTATAAAAGACGGAGAATACTCTATCATGGGATGGCTGGATGGATGATGATGGGGGTATAGGTGTTTATGAGATTGAAGTGTTCAGTTTAAAACCAGCAGGTGATATTCTTGTGATTGGTGAAAGTGTCCAGAACCACTACACAACCTCAGTAAGTGATGCTATGATATTAGGTAGGCTAAAATATAATCATACCAATATAATCGATCCTTACACAACCCCAAGTAAGAATATTGTAACAATACATCAACAATGATGATGTGGAAGTTATTATCCGTTATGTTGGCCACCATTCTGTAATACCAATTGTTCCTTTAACAGATTTTGTGTGTATCATTCCAGAACAATTTGACATTTCATCTTACTACACCAAGCGCCTATGCGATTATATTTACTGCTAAAGACAAGGCAGGAAATACACAAACAGCTAGAAGAATTTTGGTATTTGACGACTCATCCAATATTACAACTACTCATACCAGTCAATTTCTAGCTACAACAGCCCTACCTTCTACTAACTATGTCTGGCAACAAAATCATGGTCCTGTTACTATTGACTGGGAAAAAAGGTATATTAATACTAAACACCATAATGGTAAATATCTAGCTGGGGTTGGACAGTATCACGACGTGTCTAGTGAATATGATGATAATAATGGTACCAGAACAGTTGAACCAGTGGACAATGTTCTAGGTAAGTTGCATGTTGTCCTGAAAATGAACTGAATGACTGATGTCATTTGTTTTACCACCTTGTATATCACGTCCATAATGGAAGCACAACAGTGGAACCAGTTGACAATGTTTTAGGTTAATAGATGTCCCAAATATGAAATAACTAACAAAAGGAAAGTCCATGACTTCTTGTATGTGTATGTCATGTATGTATTTTCATCTCATGAGGACACTGCTTTGAATAGAACAGAATGTAAGGGATTTGTTCATACTATATAACCTTGTTGTTGGTATTTGTATTGAGGTCATTCATGGTTATATGTTTTCTTTTTTTTTAAAAAAAACAGTATCAGTATAATTGTGATTTTTTGTTAGGTATAGTACGCTATGAAACATATTATGGGGTAGATGACCAAGGAGGTTCTACCATTCAACAAACAGATACTGATTTTAATACTACTGGTAATCTGAACCAATCTATAACAATTTCTCCTACATTACAAGATGGTGATACTGTAAAATTTTATATCAGAGCTTATGACATAGTAGATTTCTTCCTGGAAGAAATCATCTCGCTTTATTTTGATACTTCTCCACCTGTTATAAAAGATCTATGGTTAACTAAAGGAGATGATTTAAATATAGCTGTCCATGGACTTCAAGATTTCAATAAACTCGTGTAAGTAAACGGTGAAGATGTCAATGAATCGTCTTGACAGCTTATTGAATGTAACTCTAAGAACGAAATTCTGCGTTAATTCTTGACTTGGTGTATTACGCATTTCCCTGTACGTCTAGTAAGTAACACAATATAGTACAAAGTACACACATTTCTAAAATATTATCGCAGATTCACGTATAATACATGTATACTGATTTTTCTTATGAACAGAATAGAATGGATAGCCTATGATCTTCACAGTGGATTAGAAACAGTGGAGTGGAAACTTTACGATAATTTTACTGGTGATGTTATATTACATGGTTCACAACATATACCAGTACAAGGGGAAGCACAGGTTGGTTATTAAAAATAGGTCAGCTAGATTAGATTTCATTGAATCGTATTATTCCACTATTCTGTCTACACCTACTTTTTCGACACCAGTAAAGCACATTCTTAACCCTTTTATTCTACTCCCGGTCGAATTTTTGAATGCCAAACTTGCAGAACTCACCAATCGAGCACTTATTCGTGCTATACTTTTCTATAGGCCATACACGGACATGTACTCATACTTAAGTACGGTATAATGGCATCGCTTTAAACAATACAAATTGTATGGTATAACTGTAGTTCTCATGAGCTCCACAAAATGTAACGAATTTTATGTGGTGTAAACATCAGAGCGTCTTTAAAAGGTCATGGGAAGAGCAATCAACGTCAATGCTTCATTTTAGACTCATACAGATTGTGAAGAGAAATACCAGAATTATTCTCGAGGATCTGATTGTTATTGTACACCTGCTGTTGGTTGTTATCATCAACATTTTCAAGTTAAACCTGGTGTTTCATTAGATAAAGGGACTGGAATAATTCAAGGAAAAGATCAAGGTGTACATGATTATGATTATTATATTGAAGTTAATGTTATGAACAATGCTAAATTACATTCAACACTCACATACAAGGTACGTAGAATTTACTATTTCATGAAATATACTTAACACATTAGACGCAGATTACAACACAAAATGTAAAGCTTAGGCTTCATTTTTGCTGTCATTAACACGGACGTAATAAATGTAACGAAGCAGGCCCCGGAATATATTTATCACGTGTCTAGCGTTTGAGATCTTAGCATTAATCTTCTTTTATCTCTTTAGATTACCATTGATACAAGTCCACCACATGTTGGTGCTGTACATGATGGTAGAGATGGTGAACCGGAAGTAGATTACCAACCAGTTAAAACTTTACAGGCACATTGGGAAGGATTTTTTGATAAAGAAAGTGGTGTGAGATATTATCACTATGGTTTTTCTACTGGATGTTTAACTGCTGAAGACTTTCATTTTGAAATCCAGAACACTCCAGTACGATTTTATTTTTCAAATATACCATTTTGTCAAATATTTTATATAAATTAAAACAGTTGGTCTTAAAACCATGACAAAAATTAATATATGATAAAATTGATTTTGCTTATGTCCAGACAAATCTCATTTAGTTTTATTGTCATTTTACTAACTAAAAAATTAAACATCAGTATTGAATCGAAATTTGATGAGAAAAAAGGGTATTGAATTATGTGATTGCACTCGTACAAATCCGTACCATTATTATATTTTCCATTAAAGGAAATCAATGAAACATCAGTAACTCACGCTACCTGGTTAGCACCTACAGATGGACAGTATTATATCACAGTGGTAGCCTATAACGCAGCTCTACAACCCTCTCAACCTGTATGTTCTGATGGTGTTGTTATAGATTCAACACGACCTATCGTCAGTGAAATATTTATAGATCAAGCAAGAATAGAAGCAGGATTAGTATCCAACGATAGAAAGTTATATTATATCAATAATAGAAGACAGATTCATCAAATACAGAATCCAGATCCTGATTGTCTGTAAGTTTCGCCAATTACATTTGTTTCCCACGTAGCAAATCCTAATCATAATCAAACTTCTTCTGTAATCCTTTGAACAGTTTATGATGCTTTTCCACAAGAACAGTTGATGTGTTTAATATTTTCAGACAAAAAGGAAGACCAATAGAAGATATATCGTTGTTTCCAGTAGAAAGATATCCCAATCAAACAATACAAGATAGAGATTTATGTCAAGAAGAAACATTACCTATACAATATCTAACACAATCATACCTAGTAGAACATTCACATGTAAGTCTACTTGTAAATATATTTTGTAATTATAAGTTGTTAGATGGTCATCTGATTATACAGTCCTTTAGTGATAGCACATAGAACAGCATCATTTGTGTTTTCACTTTGGAAACAAGGAACATATAAAGTATTCATTTGGTGTTTCATTCTTTATTCTGCAAAATAGTCAGTATTCGTCTATCAAACTTATACTTGGCTTCCAAGACATCTAATATCACACATACTATTGCCTTCCTAATTTCTAACATACTTTTAAATATTTTAAAACTTCAAAATGATAGAAACAAAGTCGAACATTTTACTATCTCTCCACAGATATATGTAAACTGGACTGGTTTAGATGTAGAATCTGGTATTTATGATTATCAGTTTGGTTTATCATCAGAGAGAGATTCTATACCTGACTTATTACCATTTCACTCTACAAATCATCATGCATGGTACCGTGGTTATCATCCACAACTTACTGATGGTACAGAATTCTTTATTCAGATTAAAGCTACGAATAAAGCTGGACTAGAAACAATTCAGGTTAGTACCTTATTAAGGCAATTCTATTCAATCACATGATCATTTATGGTTGGCTATAACGCTTATCCTTGTTCAGATTTAACATATATTGTCCACCTATATTTATAGCCTATACTGTGCGACAATATTGTATGCAATAATATATGTATTTATAAAACCGGTGTACAGTACTGCCTTATTTTCAGACTCTTGGACCACTGATAGTTCATACTTCTAAACCGAAATTTAGTGGTAAAATTGATGTGGTATTAAATAATAATCTGTTGATAGCCAATTGGTCCAATGCTGTAGTTAAAGATCCTGGTCACAGTCAACTGAGATATACAGCAGCTATTGGTGAGTGAAGTAATATAGAAATTCTCAAATACATGGCTCTCCACATCCACATACATGGGTGTTCTTTTAACCTGTTCTAATTGACAAATCAAATAAGTAAATTAATATAAAGAATATTTTCTATTTAATTACGATACATTACACTGAACAAGTACGTCAAAATGTAACTGCCAAAACCCAAACTTAATGTCATAATAATTATTATCAGTTAGAAAATAGAAAAACTATCAAACGATTGATGATTTCTATACTGACTGAAATTATTTCTTAAATCCTTACAAATCTCTGCTTGAATTGCTTTTTCACAACAAAATATTAAGTTTACGTTCAGATTTCATACGTGTTTTGATTTATTCCGCAGAAACTAGCGGCTACTGAGATTTTTTATAAACTGCTTATATTCAACTATCAGATTCAAGTTGCCACCAGTTGTCAACACTCGTTAAAGTGCAGCTGCGCTTAGGTTCTTGCGACAACTGGTCCATGAATAACAAGCAAATGAAATTGAATAAGCATTTACCTCTGCGATGCGAAACAATACAATTGACATTTCTTTTTATTTTTCCTGTTAACTCAAAATATTAATGTGTTTTATTTGAAAAACCGGTAGGTTAAATTAATGAATATTTTTAAGGTACAACTCAAGGCGGTCAAGAAATCACCAAGTTTTCAAATTTAAACTTCAATGTACCCTGTCTTGAAGCCTTACCACCCACCTGTACTGTATTTGATATTATGAAATTAGACTGGAGTTTACATCATGGATATAAATATTATATATCTATTAAAATAGAAAATACAGTTGGTCTTCATACAGTAATATCATCAGAATCTTTAACATATAAATCATTATTACCATCTAAAGGTGTTGTAATTGATGTTGGTTTAAACAGTGAAATTGACTCCTTCAATATTTCGGTAAGATACCTCGTAGATGACCACCACATTTACTTCTACTTTCTACAAACTGTTGGATAAACAGAATCTTTCTATTGAAGTCATTTTCTCTCCTCTAATGAAAGCATGAAGACACAGGTTGTCGCAAAGTGTTGTATGGATGTGCCTAAACGTATGTCCAATAGAGTGAAGCAGGGTTGTGTATTGGTGCCAACCTGGTTTAACCCAGAAGTTACAAACTTGTTCTCTGCACTCTCATATGTGACGTGTATTATAATAAGAGGAACTCGAAGATAGTAACTATCAACTAGTATATTATAATTATAGGAACTTGAAGACAGTGACTATCAACTATCTACTAGTATGGTTAGTGTACGATGGTATGGATTTGAATCTGAAGAAGAAATATCTACAGGTATTAATTATAAAGTAGGAATAAAGAGGGAGAATGACAGTGAATTTCTACAATCTGTTCATGTCAGCCAACAAACTGAATACACCTTCATTGGCCTCCAGTTACACCATTATCAGGTAGGGATGATTCATTTAAAACATTGAATATATATATATATATATATATATATATCTATTTTATGGTGTTGCAAATCCATGATGAAATTAGGTTTTTATGCTATGCTACTATTATAATGGTCAAAATCATGAAATTCAACCAGAACAATTCCTGACTGCGATACAATTTATGGACAATTGTTGAAAGCAAAACTTTGTTTTCTAGAAATATATTGTATCAGTAACTGCTACAGTAGCTGGTGTTGGTAGTGTGACGTCATCATCTGATGGAATAACAGTTGTTAAAATATCAGAAGATTTGAGTGATGAAGTGGAATTAAAAGATGGCGCTGCTTGTATAACGCCAAGTGGTAGTTCTTGTCATAGTTTCCTTTTGTTTCAATTTCTCTCATTGTGATTTTTGATATTGCGAGAATACAATTACAATTCGAAGTTTAAATGAATGTAATAGTTCTGAATATTTGTTTAAAACAAGTCGCCATAGCTTTGTTTCTCATTTAAAGTTGTAACTTTTGAAATGCTTTACGACACTACATAACCATGAATTCTGGAAACCACAATACTCAACCAGGCCCTTAGGTTTAATAAATACGTAGGATTAATATATTTCTTTTTTGAAAAAAGTGAGATAGAGAAAGTGAGATATGTTGTTTTATGTTTCAGATCTGGAAGCCAACCATTACTATAATTCTACTGTAAGTGATTTTAAAGTTTAAATTTAATATATCTACTATTCATTGCTTTTAAACGTTTCTCCACCAGAAGTAAAATATTAAAAAGCCTCCTCCAGCACAAAATTATAACAAGTTATTTGAATATAAACTACTAGTAGCCAGTTCATAATTCTGTGTATTTTAGATCATCTATTGTGGAGAACCTGGTTATCAACCATCTAGTTCTAGTTACAGTATAAAGTGGAATATTTCTAATAAATATTATAATATATATCCCCATATTAAATGGTCTTTACAAAAACAACACCAAAATACTGGTAAGATCAATATATTTTGACCGATACTTTTTTTATTGCCATATTGGCATATTGGTTATTGATACAAATTCATGATAGATGAAAACTTGATGTCAGATGGTTAATTTTCAGATATGATTTGATAACAAATGAGTGTTCAAATTTTTTTTTTAAATATTTTCAAGATATATGGCTAAATGAATACGAAAAGACATTGTACACAAGAGATAAAATGCTGACACTACCATACCGTTTAGAAGTTTGTGAATCCTATAGAAGTCGAATACAATTTTGTATTGACAACGTTTGTTCTAAACCTGTTTATTCCGAAGGTGTTACAATCCTAGGAAAACCCGACAAACCAAAAATGAATATATTGATGACCACAGATCAGAAGGTTTTCATTTATTTTTATAGTTATTTTTGCATTAGGCCATAAAAAGAAGCCCCTTGTCATAAAAAGCACGTCTTGTCGAGTTTTTATTCTATTGTGTATCGCTAATAAACAATGCCAATTGGGAAGGATTTAATTTATCACTTGATGGGTAACGGGGGATGAACTATATATTCAGCCTGAACTATTTTACCTTTAGTTTTAATAATAATTGTATTTTGCACTTTAAAGCTGGATGTTGCATTAGAGTTTACAAAAACCACTGAATCTTGTAATAAAGTAATTAAAAGACTCGAATGGAGTATAACAGATGATCACAATGGTCGTCTGTATACATTATGGAAGAATGTTGCGAAAATTATTATTAACGATAACAAGGTATAATACTGTTTTATTTTCTACACACAGACTAGGTCTTATATATGAAATAAACCATTATTTGTCATTGACATGTTCATAACTTCCTGTGTCATTACCATAACTTCCTTTGTGTGTTCTTATTATTCTAGTCAAATTCAAATAATATAGAAAAATATGAACTTATTTTGAGATTCTATTTCTAGATTCAGTTGAAAATAATGCTAGATGGTAAAATAAACTCAAATAAATGTAGAAGATTGACTCTACGACTATTTAATAGGGCAGGGTTATCAACCTTGATCTCCAAACAGATTCATTACTGCTCAGCTGTAGATCCAATACTGATACGACCAGCTATAGTTCTAGATGCTGTTCGACAAGGTAAAAATTATCATCATCATTATGCTCAATCGAAGCAGCAACTAACACACACATTTGGCATTGTATTATCACTAGCAACTTCAATTATAGATTGACCATCTGAAAGGTTGTTACTTAACTTCCTTAAATTATATGTACCAATACCGAACCATGTAACAGATGGTAATTCCAACTTCCTGCACCATACTTCATACTTACGTACAGTATACATACAGTCACTATAATGTGATATCAATGTTATAACAATTCCATTATCATAATAAAGGTAACTCTACTTCCAGTGAATAGAAATGGAATCAAACTAGATCAAAATGTCAGGTGGAACGAGCCGGATGTAGACTATACTCCCTATAATGATATAATATCTGCTATATGGCCGACATTGAGGCATAGAAACTACACGTGGGGATTATTAGAGGGTCCATTACAACCCACGTCAACTTTATACAGTAATCCTGATATCATTATACCAGATCCTTGTTCTCATCCTGCTATTGTCATATGTGGACATTCAGGTACAATTTTTTGTCAAGCTTTATAGAATTGGAAGATTTTGGATTTACAAGAGTCTCACTTACTGTTCTGGTGCAACTTTCAAATAAACTGGAGTAGCCATCTAGTAGTTTGGAAATTGTTCTTATGATAAATCCTTGGTCCAAAATTCAATTATTTGACTATCAATCATCATTTTAGTACAAGAATATATTAATATAAAACCACCACAACTATTAAAACATGGTAGAAGATATCATGTTTGTCTTCATGCTGATTCTACAACACTACAACATGAGAAATGGGATGAAGATCTAGAAGAAATTAATAGTTGTAGTGATGGTATAACAGTTGATTTAACTCCCCCTAGTGGAGGTCGAGTCTGGATACAAACAGATACTGATACTAACTATCAGGTATTACACAGTCAATGCATGTTTAAATTCATCATAAGTATTCATTGCTTTATTCATTATTACTATGGATTGAATTGTACACACATCACATTTATGTTTTTCGTCCATCAAACAAAAAGAATAGGATAAAACTGTTTAGTGACTAAAATAAATCTTGAAATTATCAATTTAATTAACTGCCAAAATCCAAACTTACGATCCAGAAATAATATCAATTATTATCTGGCTAATAAATATACATTTATCAATTATTTGGTAATTTCTATGATTTTATTTGTGTGTGTAATTTATATTGATACTAAAATCTTCACCAAATTTTACTTGAATCGAGGTTGTGTGTCTAACGTATACTGGTTAATTGTATGAAAACAATATCTTATATTGACGTTCAAATCCAATTTTTATTTGATTTAGGTGTCTATTAATACTCTGGTTGTATTCTGGGATTCATTTATTGATGTCGAAGAAGAAGGAGGAGCTGTACATCCTAGTGGAATTTCACATTATACTATACAAATAGGTAGACAGCACTAAAAAACCCTTTCTCAATTTTTCATATTCAAAAACAATGAGATTAATCTGAACGAACAGCATTTATCATATACTTTATAGCTCAAAATACATTTATCAGTCCTGGTATTTTATTAATCTTTTCTGTTGTAGGCTCTTCAAGTTCTAGGTCTGATGCATTTTCACCTATTACTGTTGGTCTTATAAATCACCAGGTTTTTCATAACTTAACCCTACAAAATGGTCACCAATACTTCGCTACAGTCCAAGGTATGAACCCATAAAGTACCAATAGGGTTTTTATACCAATGGAGATGTTGACGTGTCAGAGTTTTATAGTATGAACAAAACATGCATAAAAAATGTATAATATAATACAAATATTATTGTTTAAATAAGTGGTTAATTTGATTGAGCAATAATATTTCTGTTCATTATTATCTCTTATGATATCCAATTCAATGTGGTGTTATTTTTCATCGTTATAATATTTATAAATGTTGTTTTATTGTAGCTGTTGATTTTGTCAATAGAAATAAAACAGTAGTCAGTGATGGAATAATTATTGATTATACAGCTCCGGAAATACTTCTAAACAGAATACAGACACCTTCACCATATCTCACATCTTTAGATACAATATCAGCTTGGTAAATTATTAAAATTGATAATATGAAATTTATTTATGAATGGAGGTAATGAAGGGAAAGTATATACCACTTACAAATTAAGTGAAAATCGTCTCATAATAGCAGATAGAGAAAGTAAAATGGCACGATGTACAACTATTGTATGATATATTTGTAGTTGGACGGGAAGTTTTAGAGATAGTGAAAGTGGTATTAAATTATATAAATGGTCCGTAGGTAGTAGACCAGGTCAAACAGACATATTAAAAACACGAGAAACAGTTGAAGATTGTTATGAATCTTCATTAGATGTTAAATTTCAGGATGGTTTTACTTATTATATTAGTGTACAGGTATACAATTTACTATTTTCTAATCCAGTAATTTCACAAAAATAGTATCTATCATATGAAAACGGTTGAAAGGTTGGCTTAACCAAAATTATTTCACTTCATATTTCGTCGTTTCTAATTGTTTATAAAAGAGAATGTAAGTATAAAAGAGAATGTAAGTATAAGGAGAACCAATAATTAATCCCAAACACGAATTTATTTCAAGGCCATAAATGGAGTTGGGATGTCTACCATGTTAATATCACGACCACTAATAGTGGATACAACACCACCAATAACAGGATTAGTATTGGATGGTATTTCTGGTGATAACAACATAGCGGATATTGATTATATCTCTTATACTCTACCACCTTCTGTTAGATGGGAAAGATTCCATGATTCCCATTCGTCTATTAAACATTATTCTGTTAAAATTGGAACTTGTCCTGGATGTGATGACATTTTATCACAAACAGAAACTGGTACCTCTCATAGTAAGTTTGTAATTGATCTTAGGGGGGGGTAATCTTAGCTTGAATTGCAAAACCAAGCAAAATCAAACGTAACAGACTCGGAAATCGCGACACGATACAAACTCCAACGGTGACTAAGATTAGTTTATCTATAGTACACTGTATATAACAATGTTATCATAAAAATAAATTTGATATTTCAGATTTCACTTTCACTAACATCAGATTTATTCCTGGTATTAAATACTTTACCATGGTAACCGGATGTAATATGGCGGAACTTTGTTCAGCAATGTCTTCTGATGGTTTTATTATTGACGTCACACCTCCAATTCGAGGTCACGTGATGGATGGAGCTAGCGATGCTGATATTGACTTCCAAGCTTCAAGGTTGGTCTATATTGGAATATAGTTAGTTTTCCTATGATTTAATATAAAATGGAAGTTTATTGCCCATTTATATCATTATATTAGTTTTTTTTAACGTGTACGCTTCCAAGCTCTTAGAACAATCCAACGACGCTAATGAATTTGAGCTTCACTAAATGGCCACTGTGGAGGGTCATACTTTCTTTCTTGATAACTCTGCCATCCCTTCTGGGAATCTCTTTTGGAAGACTTCAAGCAGCTTATAATATTTATTTGACTGACTAAATTTCGCAATTCATATTGAAATTGAATTCGTGAAGGCTTGCATTACTCTTGCTAGACAACCACTTGTTTATCTATGCATCATTTTGCTTTTGTATTTGTTTTACAAGAACATATATTGGTGGTAAATGGTATGGGTTTAAAGATAGTGAAAGTTCTATAGAGAAATATGAATGGAGAGTTGGTACTAGTAAAGGTGGTAGTGAGATATTGAAACCAGAAAGTTTACCTGTTATAGAAATAATCTACAGATCTAATCTGCCTCTTCTACAACATTTACCTGTTGGTATACCGCTCTATATTACTGTCACAGCTTATAATAAAGCAGGTACTTAATTTTCGTTTCAATAGCCACAAAAAATCTTAGTTTAAACCAATTGTTTTTTCATTTATCATAAGGCGGTATTTTATATAAAGAGTGACAAAATGTGGTTCTTCATTTTCAGGTTTAATCGTTGAATCAACATCTGATGGATTTATAATAGATACAACACCACCAACTGTCACCAAACATTTAACTTTATCATCAACATTCGCTTCCATTCTACCATCAACAATAATATGTAGAACAGGATTTAAAGTAGAATGGAAATTTACTGATGTAGAATCAGATATTGAACATCAGTACATTTCATTTTCACCACATTTACTTGGTGATTTCAATTCTTCAACAACAGAGGTATTGTAACGTTCTAAACGAGTATGTGTTAATTATAAATTATTGTACAAGATGATGTATTTGTTTTAGATACAATTTGTTTTACAATAGTATGTATTTATTATACTCACCAAGTGTTCTAAAAGAGCATATATTTATTTTAGACACCAAGTGATCTAAAAGAGTATGTATTTATTTTAGATACCAAGTGTTCTAAAAGAGTATGTATTTATTATAGATACCCAGTGTTCTAAAAGAGTGTGTATTTATTATAGATAACAAGTGTTCTAACAGAGTATATATTTATTATAGATACCAAGTGTTCTAAAAGAATATGTATTTATTATAGATACCGAGTGTTCTAAAAGAGTATGTATTTATTATAGATACCAAGTGTTCTAAAAGAGTGTGTATTTATTATAGATACCAAGTGTTCTAAAAGAGTATGTATTTATTATAGATACCAAGTGGTCTAAAAGAGTATGTATTTATTATAGATACCGAGTGTTCTAAAAGAGTATGGATTTATTATAGATACCAAGTGTTCTAAAAGAGTATGTATTTATTATAGATACCAAGTAGTCTAAAAGAGTATGTATTTATTATAGATACCAAGTGGTCTAAAAGAGTATGTATTTATTATAGATACCGAGTGTTCTAAAAGAGTGTGTATTTATTATAGATACCGAGTGTTCTAAAAGAGTGTGTATTTATTATAGATACCGAGTGTTCTAAACGAGTGTGTATTTATTATAGATACCAAGTGGTCTAAAAGAGTATGCATGTATTATAGATACCAAGTGGTCTAAAAGAGTATGTATTTATTATAGATACCGAGTGTTCTAAAAGAGTGTGTATTTATTATAGATACCGAGTGTTCTAAAAGAGTGTGTATTTATTATAGATACCAAGTGTTCTAAAAGAGTGTGTATTTATTATAGATACCAAGTGGTCTAAAAGAGTATGTATTTATTATAGATACCAAGTGTTCTAAAAGAGTATGTATTTATTATAGATACCAAGTGTTCTAAAAGAGTATGTATTTATTATAGATACCGAGTGTTCTAAAAGAGTATGGATTTATTATAGATACCGAGTGTTCTAGAAGAGTATGTATTTATTATACATACCGAGTGTTCTAGAAGAGTATGGATTTATTATAGATACCGAGTGTTCTAAAAGAGTATGTATTTATTATAGATACCAGGTGTTCTAAAAGAGTATGTATTTATTATAGATACCGAGTGTTCTAGAAGAGTATGGATTTATTATAGATACCAGGTGTTCTAAAAGAGTATGTATTTATTATAGATACCGAGTGTTCTAGAAGAGTATGGATTTATTATAGATACCGAGTGTTCTAAAAGAGTATGTATTTATTATAGATACCAAGTGTTCTAAAAGAGTATGTATTTATTATAGATACCGAGTGTTCTAGAAGAGTATAGATTTATTATAGATACCAAGTGTTCTAAAAGAGTATGTATTTATTATAGATACCGAGTGTTCTAAAAGAGTATGTATTTATTATAGATACCAAGTGTTCTAAAAGAGAATGTATTTATTATAGATACCAAGTGTTCTAAAAGAGTATGTATTTATTATAGATACCGAGTGTTCTAGAAGAGTATGGATTTATTATAGATACCAGGTGTTCTAAAAGAGTATGTATTTATTATAGATACCAAGTGTTCTAACAGAGTATGTATTTAGTGGTTTATCTCTACATGATGGTAGTAAATACAGGGTAAAGGTTATCGGTTGTAATTTAGCGGGGTTATGTACATCTTCTGTATCAGATGATATTTTAGTTGATACAACAGCTCCGACTAGAGGTAAGTCAATATTCACGTTTATAAAGTATTGTATAAAGTAGAATAAATGAATGTTCGTATTATAAAGCCAAACGCCAAAGCTAGGTCAAACTGCTCAATTAACAATATGTAAGACATCAGTTTACGACCGGAAGTTGTTTGGCGGAAACTTTATTAATTTCGTAAATCAGCTATAAAACGCTTATTTTTTTCAAGTCAAAGTTTTTTTTCTGATAAGTCTTTAAAGTTCTGATAATCTTTGACCTTGACCTTTGCAACCTTCATTTCTCTACTTAAGTATCTCCTTTGGTACTGATTTTAGTAAACACCTAGTTGTAGAGAAATATGTCGACGTATTCTACAGGTTCCACTAATAATATTGAGCCATTATTAAGCCAAACGCCAAAACTAGGTCAAACTGCTTAATTAACAATTAGTATTTTTTATAAATCATTTTAAAACAAATTCAGTTTGATCAAGTAGATATATAGATATAAATAGCATGCTTTAGAAATACTTTCAGGTATAATTTACGACATTTTTGAATTTCAGGAACCTTCGCAATAGAATCGAATCATGCTGCCAATATAATCAGACATCCCGGTAGATGGATCGAATGGAACACTACATCATTGACTATAGCTTGGCTGGGATTTTCAGATCTTCATAGTGGTATACAGTATTATCTTGTATCTGTTGGTACCAAACCATTTTACACTGATTTAAATAAGGTGTGTGAGTCTTTCCACAAAACAGCCGAAAAAGATAAACGAGTGAATGATATCATGTTATTTTATAGTTAATGGTACTCAATATAGTTGTATACATGTATAATTATTATTGTATTGTATCTGATAGGATGGTAAAGCTGTGCAATATTTCCACGAAGATGGTAGATTATTTAAAAATGAAGGAGAAGTACAGATTAAAACAGTTGAAACAGCAGGAAATCTTGTCCATGGAATGTCTGTTTTTATATCTATTGTAGCTGTTAATGGGGTAAGTAAAATCAAATCTCGCAATAATATGTTTTATTACAGCTTTCCAAGTGAGCTCGAAACTCTATTGTCTTCATTATTTTTTTAGTTATTATTTTTTTTAGAGATATGTTGTTATTTTGTCATTGCACCAGACATTCTAGACCACACAATTACACTTTAAATATATGTTTACAACCGGAAGTTGTTTAGCGGAAAATTCATTAATTTCGTAAATCAGCCATAAAATTTTTTTTAAAGTTGCATTACTTTTTGTTTTGAACTTGGACCTTTTCACCATTTTCTTATCAAGCAGTTTATTCTATTACAGGTAGGACTCAAAAGTAGACCAATATACAATGAATTTCAATTGATCCATACTGATCTCAGAACAAACAAAAATGGTTCATTGGTGAGAAGATGTCAGCCATATAACTGTGAAGGTCATTGTGTTTGTAGTGAACAAGATAGAACATGTTCTGAACCAGATGGCTGTATAACAAATGGTATGAAAAAATATTGCTTATTTTTTCTTCTATTTTGTATGAAACTGTCTCTTACATGTTATATAAGACCGCATAGGACTGTGAAGATACAATGACAAGTTAAAAACAGAACTCATCATACGAGTACAGCAATAAATAATACTGAAATGATAGAAGTATCCCGTCCATCGATACCACTAAATAACTCTATTCAAAGTATCCTATACCTGTGCAAAGATATAAAAATAATGTCAGATTTTAATTTGTAGACAGCGATATAAAACTAATTCAAGTTATAGATGTAACTAATCTACAATCAACTGATACAGTTCAAACTAATTATACATTTACAAATATGTTTCTATCTGCTAATTGGAGACTCACCACCAGTACAACATCTCAACCTATCAGGTAAAGTATTTATAATTATTATAATAACCAAAGTTGTGGTCGTACCGAGCTAGATTTCAATTAAGTCAAGAAGACTTGTTTTTTTTTCAGATATGAAGTAAGTCTAGGTCTGTCTGTAAAAAGCCAGCCCAGTAGCGTGTTTAATTTAGCTACAGAACGACATTGGTTTGATGTTGGTCAAGATATGAGTACCATTATTACACTACCTAAAGGTTTGTAGAAACCATTTGCTGCATAATATTCAATAATATAGAATAATACTTAAATGAACACCGTTTTGTAATCTACACATAATCTAGATTACATAAAACTGGATAATATAATGCTACAGAATGTTAACGGCAGCCCCCTCGCCCGAATTTTGATGTGGGATTTTGGCCATTTGTATCACCATATCTAAGTTTTGTAAGGTTGTGCTAAGTTTCCTAACGATTTATACGTGCCTGCAAAGCGTCACACATCGTCCCGACCAATTCGACCAGTTTTGTAACCGCCTATTACGTATTGTCACGTTTATCCACTTTTCCTACGGCCTATTACGTTTCTTATCCGCATCGTGGCTGTAATGGCAAATTTTAGACAGTTTCAAAATTCTGGCCCGGCATCCAAGGCAATTACGGTCTGTCACGTGAACCAGGATTCTTGATTCTATAGAATAGTATAGACTACATATTAGTATTGTATGAGCTTATAGATTGGTCGCATGGGGATTCCCCCATTTCATTTCATGGGGAAAATGCGACCAATATGTAAGCTCCCAAAAAAGACCTAAATTCCCTACATTTCATAAATTCTTACAGCAAAACATCCTACATTTCATAAAATTCTTACATCCTACATTTCATAAATTCTTACAGCAAAACATCCTACATTTCATAAAACATCCAACATTTCATAAATTCTTACACTTAAAAAAAGACCTAAACTCCCATACACCAAAAAACACCTTCAATCAATTTCCTACATTCCACTAAAAAAAGCATATTAAAAATACCCTTGTATAAAATAACATCCTTGTTTCGCTTAACATCCGGTTTTTAATAGCCTCGTTTTAAATAATGTTATTTTTAAGGGAGATAACTCTTTTTTGGATAGAAAAAAAAACAGACCACAATTTCTTCGTTAAATTAATTCATTTAAAAATAGGATGAGTTTAATTCTAAAACACGAACAACACAGATTCGAAGATTATTCGGGCGACGGTATTTTTTCATCATTATTTTCTCTAGGTAAAACAATAATTCCAAAAGTAGCTAGCTTTGTTTCAAAAAACAAATCACTCATTTCAACCGAAGCGAAAGCCATCGGCTCAATCGGGGAAGCGGGAAAGAGTATAAGCGACACAATGAAACAATCTAATGAGTTGAAAGAATTAGAGCTAATAAGAGAACTTCGAAACAGGAGAATAGAAGAAAGGAAAGGAAAAGGTTTTAAAGTTATAGGATAAAAATGATTGTCGCTCACGCTCCAAAACCTTATTTCGGTTCAGGAGATATACAAAAATCATTGGGTTCTCTTTCTGGATTTCCATGGGCGAAATATCCCGGAGAAAAACATCTTCCCGGTCATAATTACACGGGTTCAGGTACCAGGTTAGATCTGCGATTAGACGAAAACGATAAACCCAAACCCGGCGAAGAACCAGTCAATAGAGTTGACGCCGCTGCGCTTAAACTTCAGACACGAAGCAGACAGGCAAATGATAATCGAACTTGAAAATATTCCAAATCCAACTTTCAAAGAGAGAATGCAAAGAGCATTAACCGTCATCCAGAAAAACTGCGGGTAGATAAAGGAAGTGAATTTTATAACAAAAATATGAAATCTCTGGGATTTTAAATTTACAGTACGCATAATGAAGGTAAAGCTGTAGTTATTGAGAGATATAAAAAATAAATTATCCAAAAAGTTCACGGAATTGAAATCTCAAAAATGGCTTAAAATATTACCAGAGGTTCTAGATGAATACAATAGCAAAATTCATTCATCTATAGGTGTCGCACCAACACAAGCCTCGAGTAATCAAAATATTATAAAGTCAATTAACGCGCAACATAACTACGAAAATGAAATAAAGAAATAAAATTAAATATTAAACCCAAATTTAAAGTCGGAGATCGAGTTCGTATTTTCAAATATAAAAGCAAATTCGAAAAAGGTTACGTTGGATACTGGACGAACGAAATATTCATCGTTGATAAAGTAAACAGCACATCACCTCCGACATATGGATTAATCGATCAAGACAAAGAACAAATCATAGGAAGGTTTTATCAAAATGAACTTCAAAAAACCGACTTTTAAAAATGAATGAATTTCTCGAAGATGAAGAATTAAGAGATGTAGACAAGCATTTACGCTTTCTTAAATTTAAATGCAAATTTATGTTCAAAATATTATTTTATCAGAATGTAATACAATTTTTTTCAAACTACGTATATATTTCATCAATTGGGTTTTCAACAATACTCCTCAAAAAACAGACTTTTAAAAATGAATGAATTTCTCGATAAATATGGAAGCGACACAACCACAAACTTTCAACTTATGAAATGGGCGAAAGAGTTAAATATATCACCGTTTTATTATTGTATGAAATAAATGATCTGAAATATAAGAAAGGTAAATTTTACGCTATAACAAATATACATACTTCCGATCAAAAAGGAGTTCATCATTCTGTTTTGTAAATAAGACTCTTCAAATGACTTATATTTCTTCGATTCTTATGGATTAGAACCCACTGAAGAGATAGTGCAATTGACTAATAAACCAATCAAATGTTCTTCCTTTCAAATTCAATTACCGGGACAAAGGTCTTTTGGTCAGCTTTCACTTTGGGTTTTATATCAGTTGAGTTTAGGAAAACAATTCGAAGAAATTGGAATAGATTTAACTCAATAAAAATGGCGAACAAGTTTGGATTGGGTTCTTTATCTTAAGAAACTAAAAAACCTAACACTACAGCGTAGATAAATAAAGCGAAACCTTACTTTGTGGATCAAATCGGAGACACTCTTCAATGTGATTTAGATATGAACAATTTTAGCATAACTAATTTAAAGTCTCCGGAAAACGATAATGACGCCGTTCACAAGAAATATTTACGGGAACAAATAAATTCAATTGAAGTAAATAAAAACCATTTAGAAGATAAAATCAGTAATGTGAAAAGATTCTTCAAACGTCAACTAAATAATAAAAATTTTGTTAATGATACTAAACTAGAACAAGCGGTAAAAGGTTTAATAAGTTTTATTCAAAAAGAATTGGTCAACGTAGCGAATAAAACTGAGTTACAAAATTTAATTTCATTAATATCTAATTAGAGGATAAGATTGCAAAACAAAAATTAGACATTCAACAATTAATAGATAACATTCCAGATGAAAATGAAGATACGTTATTCAACCATAGATAACCACTATTAATAACCTAGTTTTGAAACAGGACAAAAATATAGTCGCATTAGAAAAAAAGTTTCTCAAGAAAGAATCATATTATTTCAATCTTCCATTTGGAAATTTGAGTGATAAAGATACTTCTATTACTAATAATATTGATCTACAGACTATGAATATAAAAATATGGATTTACAGCAAATATAAACCAAATCCTAATGCTAAACCCAAAGAAATGTTTTTAATGATTTTATTTTCAAAGGAAAACTTATAATTGAAATAAATTTTCCTTTCAGGTAAAAGTTGATTCAATATTTTTCAGACAAAACCAAGCATTTTTAAAAAAATTAACGCTCAAAAAGTTCTTCAGTTTATCAATGGTACAAAAAATGTAGAAATTAAAGAATTAGAAATTAACGATGAAAACAACAAGAAAGATCACTTATATGAAATTAAAACGAGTGGAAAATATATAGATAGGTTTAGAATGTTAATCATTCCAGATAAAGAAAAATATATTTTTCATTTGGTGAATTTGATATGATTTTGGAAACGGAAAGTCTACCATCAATGAATATTACTAGAAATCCAAAACTACAAAGTATAGGGGACACAAAGAGTTACGAGTTTTTACGAACATCAAACTTTGAATATGTAAAACTATATTTTGTTAATAATGATATATTTTCCTCAATCGATATTCATGAAAGTCAATAAGATAAAGAATTTATAATATTTTTATCAATCATTCAACGTAATGATGGATCAAAAGTTGGAGATATATATACCTGTAGATGTATGATAAGAGTCAATATCGAAAAACCAAAATTTTCAGTTCATCTGAATAAAATTAATGATCCGAAAGAACAAATATCATTAGTAACTGTAAAAGTTTTTATTATTTATCCTGAAATTATAACAGATAAAGAAAAAAATATACCATTTAAACTAAATGATGCAGTTAATGTTGAACTCCTTCCATTTTTTAGAGTATCAGAAGTTCATTTAATTTAATAACCTAAAAATGGAACTCAAAAGTAGACAACAATATATGATAGAAAAACAAAACGAACTAAAAGAAAAACTAAAACAATTCAACAAATGTAGAAAAACATGGAGTAGAATCGATTCTGTTTTCAAAACATTAACAGTTCTATCAGTAGGGATAACGATGGCAACAGCCGTAACCGGAGGATTAATGCTTCCAATAATTGTCCCAACTGTATTAGCCGCGTTCTCTGTCGTTCAAACTTCATCTTGTGGATTTATTACTTTAGGTTTTACATCAAAAAAGAAAGCTTATTATAAAAAGAAAACAGAAATTTAAATACATATCTTAATAAATTATTCATTTTTTCGAAAGATCGAGAGAAAACAAGAACATAACAGTTGAAGAATTAGAAAAATTCAATGAAATTTAAGATAAATTTGATGTAGAAATATCATCAATAAAAGTTAAAAAAAAGTTGCTTAAAAAATATGAATAAAATTGAAATTTTAGACGATGAAAAATTCATATCAAATGAACTTTTTTCCAATGTTATTGACCTTATCTCTGATGAATTTATAACATTTAAAGGGCAAATTGAATTAGATGGAGAGATAATTCAAGATGGAGGACACAAACAAAACATGCAATTTGTAGCTTTTATTAAAAAACTTTTGTCAATTTCTTCGCTAGAGTGGATAATAAATCGGATGCTTCTGATTGGTATTTCACAGGAAAAATGATTTTTCGTAAAAACAATTTCAAAGAAATAAAAAGATCAAAAAAGGGTAGTGGTGTTACCCTACTCAAAAAGATAAAAGAATATATCGGTATAAATTGTTATATACTGAGCGATGGATACTGCTTTGCAAAGTGCGTTAATCGTGTTTTAAACGAAGACTACACGAGAGATTTTCAAGATTTCATCAACAGTTTTTCATAATCAAACAGAAAAGGAGTTATGACAACTGCTAGAATCTGCGAATTCAATAAGAAATTTAATACTAATTTTCAAATTTATATGCCCAACATAGACATTTTCAACCAAAGAAAGTATCCGAGGAATTAGATTGGTTATTTTACTTACATAAATCACATTTCTCTCTCATTAGAAGAAATAACAAAACCTTAGGAAATAGAAGATAATTACGATGAAAACGTATGGAGAACTTGTAGAGATGATAATGCGATAACGCAAGTTTCACCTCTAAACCATTCCCGATGAATGTTTATACGCGTGGGATTGCGAAACCTATAACGAAAATAAAGCCATACCTTATTCTTGCAAGTTAGAAATTTAGAAAAACTAAGAAAAATGTTAGACAGAATAAATAATCTCTTTCCAGATTTAAAGTCGACAGATCCCATTCCAGAAGAATTTTACAACAAACTTATGACTAATATAGTAGAAAGTATTTGTAGGTACATATTGTATCGATCAAATGTTACAACGTTTAGGAAAAATAGATCAAAAAATAATAACATTAATTGCTCATAACGCTAGCGATTTTGATAACTGGATCATGACCAAAAACGTAAAAAAAACTAACACAATGCCCTTTAAAAACACCCAGAGGAAGTCTGTCTCTACCTTTAACTAATTCATTCGCTGATGAAGATTTACAGAAAAAATCATCTAGTTTGGCAGCATGGGGAAATTCATCTAATCTACCAATGAATTTGAGAAAGATCGAGGACGTAGACATTGCAAAATACACCAAAGATAATTGGGAACCTTTAAGAAACGAATGGGAACCTTACGCTAAAAGAGATATGTTATGTCTCGGAGCTTGTTTGATAAAATACAATCAAGCAATGAAAGAAGTTGTATTTCAGAATATTTCCAATAATCTAACGGCTCCTTCTATATCTTTAAAGGGTTGGTATTATTTATATCATTACGATAAAGAAATGGTTGAAGAAGAATGGTATGAAACTACTAGAATGGTTCCGAAACACACCGAAAAAGTTTACTCACATACCCTTTTATAAGATATTTTATCAGACAAAGTATTAAAGGAGGAAGAGTTTCGGCAAATCGAAAATCATTTGAAACGAATAAAATGGATGAAATTTGTTATATATTAAATGAATACACAGAAACAGCAAGTGATAATATAATTGATTTATTCAAAGAATATAGCGCTAGCACGAAAGATCAAGCGGAGGTTCATTCGAGACTTACAAAAATAAAATGTACTAAACTAATGGTCTTTGATGCTAACGGCTAATATCGTAGGTAGTAATTGTATGAAATTATTAGGTAATTCGCTGTATGGTAAATCTATTCAGAAGGATACAACTACATCGAGACATCTATGGAGTGAAGTGACTTTAAAAGCCAACTTCGATTCACACGTTATACACTATGAAAGAGTAAATGATAGTCAATATATAGTTGAAGAAGAAAAAGAGTTTATTCCTCCTAAATCTACACGACTAACACCTAGTCATTTGGGATTATTCGTTTTATCTCACAGTAAAAAAATAATGAATAATTTTATTCGCGTGATAGATGGATTTTATAAGCCTGAAATATACTATACTGATACCGATAGTTTATACATTTCGTCTAGCAATTGGGATAAATTAAATGAAGCTGGGTTGGTGTCCGAAAATGATTATTGTAAAGGAAAGAATGATTACGGTGATGGTGGATTTATATTTGTTTTGTATTTAGCGCCAAAAGTTAAATACAATATCATTCGAACTTCCGATGGTGTTTTAAAAGAAAAGAAAACGTATAAGGGTTACTCTAAAGATAAGATATCTGTAGAAGATTATATTCGATTAGCTAGTGGACAGGATGTAACGAATGAATTTAAATACAATATCATTCTAACTTCCGATGGTGTTTTAAAAGAAAAGAAAACGTATAAGGGTTACTCTAAAGATAAGATATCCGTAGAAGATTATATTCGATTAGCTAGTGGACAGGATGTAACGAATGAATTTAAGAAACCTTGGGTAAAAAGCTTCACCAATGGAGTAGTTATTCCAAAGGATGATGATAAACAAAAGAAAGTTTTTTAGAAGTTATCTAAATCTCGTTAAGAGAAAAGCACCAAACAGTGAAGGAATCATGTTTCCTTACAACAATGGAAAAGAATTGAACATAGATGAAAACTACGAATTTGATGATTTTTATTACCTTACTATTCAAGAAGAGAATGAAGAGTGTTAATTTTTTTTGTTTTGAATGAAGTTGAATAACAATTTCCTCGTTACAAAAATCTATCAACCTATTTTTACCATCTTTGATTTCCAGATTTATATCTTAAATCATAAAGGAATTAAGTGGTAAATACGTTGTTTGAAATGGTTTCTCTATAATTCTATATCCTATCGGTACAGTGAATGTTGGAAGACTGTAGATAATCTGACGTTTGTATTTATTGAAAAATCCACCGTTTATCAAATTGCAATGTATATTTATCACATCGATATCATTCTCGATATTAGCTTTGTGTGGTGCTAAAGTGGATTGGGTGTATACTCGTTTATCAAATCCTAGTAACGTATTCAATGAATTTTCTACGTTGAATTCAACTTGACTATTATTTCTTAATATCAATTTTATTTTGTTCAGATTCAAATTATCTTCGAATTCAATATTGTTTTTACCATTGACACTTCCTCCAGATAAGTACTCGTTAATGGCTATGTATTCGTAGCTTCTTGGCAGTAAACGTATGGTTTTGAACGTAACTCCGGTATCTGTTGATATTTTTATTTGGTTATATTTTTCGTTGATATTTCTAATGGAATTGTAAACAGAAAAATACTTTAATCCCAATTCATATTCTTGATTGCGATCGAGTTCGTACTCATAATCTAGAGATAATTTAATGTCTGATTTATTTGAGGTGATGACGAATAGTTGTTCTTTATTTTACTTTTTTAATCACGCTTTTATACTCATCTATGATTCCTTTTTCTAGGAGTCTTTTTAATATACAATTTACTTCATTATATTGTTTGTGCGATCGATGTCCTTCCTTCATTGCCGCTAATATTACTCGTAATCTATTAAGTAGTTCCTCGTTGTTGTCGGATAAAAACGTTATACCTTGACCAGATGCCACCATATCTTCGATCGAAATCGTCTATATCTTGTGTGATTGAATTGTTGTCTTCAGCATAATCATCTGCTTCGACAACTTCGTGTTCATCATCTTGATCAATTACTCTTATATATAGTTTAACTTCTTTCGATCTTCTTGTTTCGGGTCCCGACTTTCTAATTGCATGTAGAAATTTTGAGTATGCTACTAAATCCTTATAATCGGCAATACCAACATCCTTGCCATTCATTAAATCTATTAATCCTCTCGTTAATGTTAATATAAAGTCTTTTGTATCGATTTTGAATAAAGGGGAATTTGGACTAAATATTATTCTAAATCCATTAAACAATAAACCTTGATTTAAACGATTGGTGAAATGCTCTTTAGGGTTTGAAAAAAGACGATTTATATCATCTCTATGTCCTAATTATAATACCATCATATTCAATCGCTTTGGGCTGTTCTATAGGAGGTGTAGGTTCTATAGACGGTTTATATTCTAATTTCCTTTTAATATCCTCTTGAGATTTTAATATGGGTTGAAATAGAGTTTGTAGATTTTCCGTTAATCCGAGTTGTTGTAATCTGTTATTTTCAACTTGGGTCTTTATTTTATTCTTAGCCTTGATATATTCTTTATTTCTTTTTAAAATATTATTCCAATCCATTTTTACAAAATAAAATTAACATATGCATAACTCTTTCACCCGCGGGTTTTCTAGTATTTACAAATACATATCCATGTTCATCTGGGTTTTTCCATTAGCTTTACAAACCTTTTTAAATGCATCTCTGTCCATTCCGTGATTTATCGACTGAATGATTTGAGATAAATCTTTATCGTTTAATTCAAATAATAAAAAACAATTTGCGTTTTTTCTAATGAACATAGAATCCATCCCGTAAAAAGATTGAGATTGGTATATGCAGTGACAGTTGCGATGTCTTCCCTTCGTGAAGAATTCTTGTTGAACAGCTTGATTTCTTTGCGCTACGCAGTCGTCAAACAATATTAAGTTCTTTCGTTTGCTATCAATATTAGACAAGTCTAGATCATTAACATTTTTCGTAAGAAAAACTTTTATATCCGTTGGTTTCTTTCCTTCGATGTAGTTATCTATGATATCTTTTATATCCACTTCTCCTTCGTAATATTGAAATAGGTCTTGAACATCTTTCTTTGGTAGATATTCTAAAGCTTTGAGAAATTGATAATACGATTGCTCTGGAACTACGGCATATACACATAAGCATTGGGTTATTAGGAAATATTTCTGAATGATTAAATTTTTTATTATTTTAATTTGTTCCAAAAATGACTCCTTCTCCTTTATACTTTGAAAGATATATTCCTTCTCTAGTGTGTATATTTTTTAAAAATATTCCATTACCCTTATGTTTGACTTTGATTTCGCCTGTGTCAATACTATCTAATAATTTATTTAATCCTTGTTTAACAGTTTTCTTGGTTTCTTCACTAAATCTTTTTCCACATTCTTTCATTGTGCCTATCATATCTCCCACTCCTGAACCTTTCTTTTCCGTTTTAGGTTTTTTAACCTCTGCTGCCAACTTTTCCAATGCTAAATTGTGTCTATGTTCTTCGGCTGCTTTCTTTTCTTCGGCAGCTTTTGTAGCAGCAGCTTTTGCAACATCGGCTTTCTTTGCGTTGGAAGTTTTGACTCCAGCAGCTGTAGCACCGACCACTGTAGCCGCCGCGGTAATACCAGCAAATATTAAAGGTAGGGAAAATATAAATCCACCTTTTTTTTACATTTGTATCAATTCTTTCTAAATCTATATCGTCTCTGACTTTACAATATTTGTATTTATCAATAAGTTTTTTAGTTATACTGATTTTTTTTACCGTTGAAAGTTATTACAGTTGGGGAATCTGTTTCAACAGCTTGTATTATTTTCATAACTAAAGTTTCTACTTTCATTTTTAAGGGTGTATTTTTACTCAATTCTTATCATTCTTCTATCTGCTATTTTAATTAAATGTTTTGCTTCTTCCAATAATAAACAATAACCTGTTACATCTCCTTGTGTTTTTTCAATATGAATATTTATGTTCACTCCTGTTTTGAAAAGATCTTCTTGGTGAGCTGATAGATCAAAACAGAAGATTGGATGATTAAGTGCAAAATCTACATATTCAAACTGAGATAGATTTCCAAATAATTCACACATATTTTTATAGTTTCTATACAATTCATTATAATCCTTTGTGGTTGGATTAATTGTTAAAAGTTGGTAAGGATAATTATCGTTGTTTAATCTTACTTGAACTTGAATGGATTAAAGGATTTTGAGTTTGGTTCATTGCCACTCTAAAGACATTATTGTTATTCGTTTGAGAATCTGGTAAGTTCTTGAAACCAACCATTAAATATCTTCCGGGATTAATAGTGTTAGTGATTGGCCACGTGGTGGATCGTCCCGTTAAAGTCATGCTACCTACCGTGTTACGATGAAGAAAAGCTATTTCATTATCTTTAGTAATGAGTTGAATATTCTCGTTTCTACTTCAATTGATGGTGTTATTACTGGTATGAAAAGTTGGAGATTCGTTATTTCTAATTTTGCATCTGAACCATTCTCTCTAAAGAATATCTTATCGTCGTTGATTTCTTTTTGTAGATGAATTTTTTACCGAATAAAGGATATAATTTCCAATTATCCCACCTATTATTCTCAACAATATTATTGTACTGAAGTACTCGATTTTCAAATCCATGATTAGCTGCTCGTGCTACTCTTTCTATTGTGTTTCGAGCAACAACTCTCACTCTATCTAATCCAGCAACATTTCTTACCGGTTCTTTTAAAACACTTCCATCGCCAACATCGGGTATCCAACCTGAGACTGAATCGAAATCTTTAGGATATAAAACTGTTTTCAACATTGTGTCAAATTCCCCAGGGTGTTTAATTGTTTCTATCGGATTTGAACCAGCTTCCAAAACCATCTCGCTAAATAAAGATGGAAAGAAATAGTTTTCTAACGTTGTATTAGTTTGAGGAGCTTGATTCTGAGTTCCATCTTTAATTTTCAAATCACATCTGAAATAAGCATCGGAAAGAAGCAACCAATTCGATAATGAATTTATTTCGAAGGTAATTCTACCACCATCATTCAATTGGGGTTTAGAACCAACAGTGGGTGAGATGGTAATATAATCCTCTTTTTTCGTGTTAAATGAATAACGAATCGGATCGTATAATCTAATGATTGGATCTAGTATTTTATTTGCCATTTTTAAGGTTTAAAATTGAGTAGAAAATTGTTTTCCAAAACAAGAGTTATCTCCCTTCTACATTATTTTAAAACCAGATGTTATTTTATATAAGGGTATTGTATGCTTTTTTTGATGGAATGTAGGAAATTGATTGAAGGTGTTTTTTGGTGTATGGGAGTTTAGGTCTTTTTTTAAGTGTAAGAATTTATGAAATGTTGGATGTTTTATGAAATGTAGGATGTTTTGCTGTAAGAATTTATGAAATGTAGGGAATTTAGGTCTTTTTTTTCCCCATAAAATGAAATGGAACCCCATGCGACCAATCTATAAGCTCATACACTACTCATATTTGTTTCAGATAATACCCTACATGATAACCTGGTCTATTCAGTATTTGTAAGAGCGTGGTATGATGATAAAAGATATTATGTTTATAAATCACCTGGTATCACTGTTGTCTCTAAACCACCAACTCTGACTTATTTAGGAGGAGCAGCTGTAAGTACCCCAATGGACGAATACTGGATGTCGCCTAGAAGCTCGGTGTCTAAACTCCCGTCCTCAGCCTAATCTAGAGAACTCACATAGCTATAAATAACGATTATTGATATGCATGGAAATTATTCAAAACTTTATGTAGATTTTCTGTTCTGTTTGATAAATCAATGGCATATTAAATTTTATTGCAGGTTAAAGAATTAGAACAGACAACTGGTAATAAAGATATTGACTACCAAATAAACAACAATACAATAATAGTTGGTTGGAAAGTTAAATTTAATGGTGGCATTCATGGTGTAGATTATTACCAGATTTATATCAGTACACATCCACAAGGTATACAACTTCATACAAAGCGTTTCTTGTATTGCTAAAATGATCTGATGTTCATTTATCCTTACAAACGTCTGACAATATCAGAAGAAAAGATAACAGATAGAATTGAAAGAAAACATCTCCTATAGATACGAGTCAAGAATGTTGTATATTATTTCAGGTCACAATATCCATAGGAGTGACACAAAATTATCGCCACAGCAGAAATCATTCAGTATATCTGGAGTAAAGTTACAAGAAGATAAGATATATTACAGCACAGTTTTAGCCTTTAACAAAGCTGGGTTATGTAGCTGGAGCACCAGTGATGGCATCATAATTGATTCTACACCACCTTCAACTGGTATCATACATGATGGATTAGGTAAGTATAAATTTTGGTATTATAGTTAATACTATACCCCCTTTATATGGTGTCACTCACGAGTATCATGTAAGATTAGTATTGGCGAAAGCCTAAATATTTTTGATTGAATTTATTACATTTGTCTTTTGATTTGTTCCAGACCCACACGACTCTGAATACCAGTCATCTGATAGCTTGCTTGCTGCTTCGTGGTACGGTTTCTCTGATATAGGATCAGGTATTGTGAATTATATCTGGTGTGTTGGTAGACAGAATGACTCCACTACTTGTGATATATTACCATGGACTAATGTTGGTTTGAAAATAAAAACCACTGATATATCACCTATGGAATTGCATTCAGGTAAATGAAAATACAAATTTCAATTTAGCACATACAAAGACAGCAATTGGTTTTGGTAAAAGAAATATATGTATAGTTGTCTTGAGTTATAAATGTAATTAAAACGTAACTTCACCATTTGTATGTTACAGGAGATAAGATCTATCATAAAGTATATGCTGTAGACGGTAGTGGTTTACAATCACAAGTTGCTGTCTCTAATGGGATTATTATTGATACTTCACCACCTGAACCAAGCTACCTGGAATTTATTGGAGAGAATCTCATCCTTAATCCCTCATTTGAATCAATATCTGATGACACAACAACTTCTTGTAATTCTAACATCCCGGAGGATTGGTCTACAGATTCACAATCTTGTGTTAAAACTCGATCATCTCAACATTCAACAGCTCATGATGGTGAAGTTTATATCACAATAACAGATCAGATTCAACAAACGATTCAAAATCTAGATACAGATTGTTCTTATCAGCTTACTGTACATGTTGGTTACCCACATGACATCTTATTATCACATCATATGGTAGAAGGTTTTATTAGATTGGGACATGAAATAAACAGTTTTAAACTGAATCCAGATCTCTGTCAGGGTGACTGTTCTGAACTTGTCGATGTGATTCATTGGTATAAATTCAACTATATTTATCAACCAATAAATACACGAGAGAAATTAGTAATTGGTACAACAAGAAATAATATGATATTGGCTATAGATGATCTAGAACTCAGAAAAATAAATCATGTATCATTGAAAGATACCAACAATAATCATATAGTATATCACCCTACTTTTACACCTCACTGGTCTTCCTTACATTTTAACTGGTATATTAAAGATAGGGAAAGTTCTATTGTGGAGTATCAGTGGGCTCTAGGTAAGTCATATCTTATGCACATTATCTTTACTTGGTTTGTCAAGCTGTCTTCATGTATACCACAGACATGAAATGCAATGAATAGAGTTTTACGACCTACTCTTCTGCACCTAACTGATGTTTAATGTCTCATACCACTTATATTTGTTCAGAAGACTCATTAATTTCAAGAAGTAGTATCAATGTTTATATAAAATAATTGAACAACAAATACTTTATATTTAATCTATATCCAGGTACAGTGAAAGGTGGAACTCAGATCAGAGAATTTACAACAACTGGTGATAGAAGCCACGTGACTGTTTCTAATCTACCTTTGGATCACAACACTCGGCTATATTTCACTGTTAAAGCTCGAAATGGTGCTGATCTAACCTCTCTATCACATAGCAACTATATGTTGGTGGATACTACGCCTCCTGTTGTGATTTATATACATGACGGTACAGGTACGTGACGTTGCACTGATTATATTATAGTACACTCTACGCTTCCTGTTCTTATTTATATACATGGCAGTACAGGTGTGTGACGTTGTACTGATTATATTATAGTACACTGTACGATTTCTGTTGATATTTATATACATGACGGTACACGTACGTGACGTTGCACTGATTATATTATAGTACACTCTACACTTCCTGTTCTTATTTATATACATGACGGTACAGGTTCATGACGTTATACTGATTAAATTAAAGACGAAATAACACCTCCTGTTGTTATTTATATACATGACGGTACAGGTGCGTGAAGTTGCACTGATTATGTTATAGAAGACACCTCATCCCAATGTGTAACCCAAGAGAAATGATATTATATTTGTTTTGCAGGTGGAGATGTTAATTACCAGACTCGTAAGGTTATAGCTGTCAATTGGAAAATAGAAGATCCACAATCTGGTATTGACTACTGTCTCTGGGCTATAGGTAGGTAAAGCCTCTCAAGTATGAAATACTCGAGTGCGAGCATCCAATCTCTTACCAATTGTGAGCCAGCCAGTTAAACCCGTTTAACAAAGAGAGAACAGTGAAAGCACTGACACCTTCCTATTTTTTCTTTGAGCTCTAACACTATCACTGGTGCATACAAAACTAATTATACCTTATCTTATTCCCAAATTGCCCAGATAACAACTCAACAGCAGTGCTGCAACCATGTTGTCTCTCCAGTGTCCTGTCTACAATTTACAATTATAAGCTTTAACTGTAACAAGAAACACTAGGAATGATGAAATACACCAAAGACACAGAATGTTACTATGTTTTGACAACAGGAAAAACAAAAAATATTAAATATAAAAAATGTTAAGAGGATGATTTTAGCCTTGAATTTATAGTAAATAGTCTTCAGAAGTACTAGAAATGTACGAACAACGCACAATCCCTTCAAAAATACTCCAAACTATGAATTTTACTCAACATTTCTAGATATGTCTTTTTTATAAATCACAGAGTATCTTAAAACAGCGAGTTATCCTCTTCTAACATCCAAATTCTAGATACACATGGATTTGAAGGTTCAAATTTCTACGGTGAGCTATGAAGACTATTAATGATTGTCTTAGCTAAAAATTTCCATTTTCTGAAACTAAAATATGAATTGTTAAAAAGAATGGCGTACCTTTAACCAGCAATATATTTACTGTATATGATTATAACCATATATGTATCTGTTTAGGTTCTGTGCGAGGAGGAAATGATATACAGAAGTTTACAAGAATACAGAAAGACGAGAATAAAGCTAGTAGAGAATATACTGAGAGAGAACCTATAAAAGTTTATTCTACTATTAGATGTTATAATAAAGTTGGTCTACAAGTAACAGTTACAACTGATGGTGTTCAACTCATTGATTCTAATAAACTTATTACTAGTAGTGGGCAGATAACTCTTTTACCACAGACCACAACCCAATATCAAATATCACAATATTGTCTTTCACTACAACAGTCACTTGGTATTCGCTGGCGGTTTGATTCTAACAGCTATAAGTCTACATCAGTTATGGTGAGTTCAAATTAGTAACCCCATCTGACATCATACTATCTGATGATTATAAACTAGAGAAAGAGATAGATGTTTATTGTTTTATAGGTTGGACTATCTACTGATGATTATAAACTAGAGAAAGAGATAAATGTTTATTGTACTGTTTTATAGGTCGGACTATCTACTGATGATTATAAACTAGAGAAAGAGATAGATGTTTATTGTACTGTTTTATAGGTCGGACTATCTACTGATGATTATAAACTAGAGAAAGAGATAGATGTTTATTTTATTGTTTTATAGGTCGGACTATCTACTGATGATTATAAACTAGAGAAAGAGATAGATGAAACTGGTATTAACTATGATGGTGTTAAATTACAAGGTTTAAAACTGAAACCAGAGACAAACTATATGGTGAATATTTCTGGTATTTTACTGGGCAGATTGAATAATTATATAAATCATACTTTCTCTACAAATTATCAACCACCCAGTGTTAAAGGTGAGACTATTTTAGCATTAGGATTCATTGTACATGGTGATATCTCTGACACTTTACACTATGCTCGAATTTTTTCTGTTCTTTTTTTTTTTATTGATTTCGAACATTTGGAAGAAATATAGTTACAAACTTATAAATCTCTTTCTTGTCTGACGTTTGGGTTTATTTTGTCTTGTCTTTTTGTTGAACGTGTTTATTTTTTGTAAATATACCCCGTTTTTTTCGATACTGTGTGGCCTGAAAGATATATTTTCATTCAAAAAGGACAGTTTACAGAAAAGCTACAGAATATATTTTTATTACAGACGATAGAGATATCAAAATAGCCAAGACATTAGATGGTTTAACATTAATGATATCCTGGACAGATATATTTGAATCATACTGGAAAGATTTAACTTATGAAGTTAGTCTTGGTACCAAACAAGGTGGTGGAGATGTTATGCAGTGGCAAGAGACAAAAGATAAAAGTCTCCGTTTGACATTACCTAAACATTCGAAATATAAATATCTATTTTTAACTCTTACTGCAGTAGATCCTTGTGGTTTATTTAGTACTATTCAGAAAACCATTTTGTTGTAGATTTTAAATTATTTAGATACTACCATTTTTTATTTTCTTTTATTTAATTTCTTTCGATCGTATTGACTTTTTATTTTAATGTTATCTCATTTGAACTGTATAGTATTGTTAACTTTTATCCAATGATCAACATTATATTTATTTAGCATAAATTTTACACCTTTTGAATAAAATAAATGTTTTATAGGTGTAAATGTCTTGGTGTTATACATGAATATTGCCGTCGCTCCTGTCCGTCGGCCAGTCTGTGCACATGTCATGTAGGCATGATAGAGACTACAGATTATTCTTGATATGCATGCATGTATTGATGAGATCTTGGTCAAGTGCGAAATTTGTGATAATCGAATGAGCGGTTTCAGAGTTATATATTGAGATCTCAGTCAAATTTGAAATCGGATGAATGCTGTTATTTCCCTTTATTTAGTAAAAACTCGTCGTTTTTGGCTTGTAGGCATTAAGTTCATGTTTGAATTTGATGATAATTTGATGAACTGTTGTTGAGATTTTGCCTTGATTTATATATATTTTTAAGATAATTTGAAAATTCATTATTAAGCCTTTGTTATTATTCCTGACAGATGGACGTATGTTACCTGTCTGGCAAGCTATCTTCTGTAAACGTTAACTACCGTGGTATCAATATGATGTCCTCTTTTGTAAACTTTAAAAAAAAAACCACCAAATTAATGGACAGTTTTTACCAAATAATAGACAGTTACTACTTAAAGCACTCCAACATTCTACTGTATAAATCGAGCGAATGGCGGTTAAATTCTCGATCGACGTGAATAAGTCATCTTCACTCATAATTCCAGTCGACCCAGCTGTAAATGGGTACGGATATTCCGGGAAAGATCAATGCCAAGAGGTTTGGCCAAGGACCAGCTGGTAGAAAGGATCCTTAACTTACCGTGAACCTAAGTTGTTATCCTTCTTACATATAGTTGTTTCTTTCTTTCAAATCATCTAAAAAAGCTGAATGTGACATTTTCTATCAGTATAGTGTTGTTCTTCGTAGAACTTACCAGGACACTATATAGCCCACGTCAAAGTAACTGGTATCGCCCAGCTATTTGGAGAAGAGTCTAATAGGAAACTCAGTGAATATTATTCATCGTCGTGGAACCTTAGCACATGCAGGGATGAACCAACAGTTCTCATATGTATATTAGTTTACCTATCTCATGGTTTGACATATATCTTTTGTGTTTATTATCTCGCTAAAAAAAATTTATTTTCTTACATATAATTAAGGTGAATGTGACATTTTTTGTCAGTTTAGTGTTCTTCGTAAAGATAGCACCTTTCTCGCCCACTCCTCAGGCATTTTCAAGATGCGATTCTGCCATGTATTTAAATTTTTTGAATGACAAACTTGTCATCTATATGTATTTGTTGCATGATGAATCGCGTTTACACACCAATAATGTTATAGAGACTAACTTCGTTTGATTTAAATTCAGATATTTGTATTATTACAAACGTTTAACTTATCAATCACAGCGAGTCATTGTTTTAAATGTTTGCTTTTAGGTGTATTCATACGTCATATTATTATCAAGCCAAATATATATATGTAAGAATAGAATATCGATGAATAAACGCCAAAGAAGGGCGTGTTATTAGAAATGTAACTTGCCATGTCCCACATTGAATGGACAGAAATAAAAAGAAAGTGGCTCCATTGATGTTTTTACCCCCGTGACGCAATAATAATTTCTTTTACTGGGTAAAATTTTTTTTAAAAAATTCTGTAATATAATCGCAGGGCGTTACTTTAGCGGCTCAAATTTAATTTCCACTGAACAAGTATGCGCTTAATGTATGTAGTAAGGTGCATTTTACAATTGTTGTTTAAAGTTATATTAAAATCAAAAATCACAATTTACATTCTTGTTCTCCTGTAGCATCACGTCAGAATCAGGGGAGCCGCGGTTGCCCACTCAGTGACGCTTGCTCTCTAACCTGAAGATCCCAGCATAGGCCGAGATGATATCTTCGGAATGTTTCAACCCGGTTGCCTCGGGATGCAGTGATGCAGTTAAGAGGGGCTGACATGGTAAAAGCGTCACATCGTTCGGATGGGACCATAACACTAGACCGTGTGCTACAAACTGTGCGCGTTAAAGATCCCAGAAAGTTGGAAATCGACAAAGAGCTGGCTAATGCCGCTGCCCTGGTAAAATTTCCCTCATTGTACACTGCAAAGCGTTGCCAATCTTCAGTAGACCACATGTTGCAAAAAAGTAATACGTAAAAGTACATTCATTTCATTTACATCAGGACTAGGTGGCATAAGGAGACATCACTTTCTGTTTTTTAGGCTCTCATACCATAGTGTACTCAGAATAAAATGTGTCGTCAAGTTTTTATTTACTTAAAAGAGATATTTTCCTAGAAAACTATTTTCGAGTCAACAATCATACAATGTGAAAGTTGATATTAAACGCGTTCGTCTCGGTTCAGAGAATTATCATGAGGTTATTTGTATTGTATTATTTTAATTGTATTAAACGTTTGTAATACCATGGCTATACGCTTTATACAACAAGTAAGGAAATTTGCCATGTTGTCTTAAAGATGAGTTCCCTTATTTTCATTTATGAAAAATGAAAATGCTAACACTTCTATGAATAGAAAGTATAGGTGTTCTAATGACTTGGAAAAATACCAGTTTGTCTCACATGTCCATAATTAATTCATAATTAGCTAAATTAGAAGAGAATTAGCAGCAGAATTCCAATGGGTGACCGATCAAGAAGGTCATTCATTGTTTATCCATAATGTCCATATATGGACATTTATGATTGGTTCAAACTCTTAATTATATGCAATAAAAACATAATGATATGACTAAGAATACATGATAATTCACCAGAAACACCAATTAATCAAATAGTCCGCTTAATTTGATGCTAAAAAATGTAAATATAGTCAGAATTGACCAGATGGCTTTTCGTGTTTAAGCCATGATTCAGAAAAGTCCCTACAGACCGTCTGAAGATGGTGGAAAGGTTGCAGTCGCTACTTTTGATTATCTGAAGTCGTTTCTGCAGCTCTACCTAGCACACCCTCATCATCTTTGAGTTTTTTTTAGTGTCTCTACAGAAATGCGTTGCTCTGCTTAAGGTATCTTTACCTTTTCAGATGTAACTTACTATTGAAAGCCTCAATCTTTTGAAAAATTGAAGAAAACTGACTCAAGTCTCAACCTTTTTAAAACATTTAACCTATTACTTGCTGTTTAATTCTTTTAATTGAAGTATTCATCATTTTGAAATTACGAAATCAGTTTTTGTGGATCCCACTTATTCATCCATATAATACAACACTAATTGCATCACAATATAAAAGGAATCACGTGACTTGGTTTGGCCATTTCAAATGCCACTTATTTGTGGCAAAATGTAACAATGATTGGGAACAATGAGATATTTTGATGTATCATGTCTACTTCGGCTCAATGATAAATATCGGCATAATGTAGGCTTCACGAAATACATCGATGAACACGTCTATAGTTTCAAGAATCTAGCAAGTGTTGTAAAATAGCATTATTATAAAATTTCCAAAAAGTATGATAGATCGTCAGATCAATACCAAGCCCTTTCGATTTGGGTGATACGAGAGCTATTCAGCCTATTGTGCCCTTTTAAGCTAATCCCATATCAGATATGTAATATGTTCAGCCTAGTTTCAGTTTTCTTTTACTTTAAAAACTTCCTGGTTTCGCTCCGTACATCACGTTGGCTTGGCGAATTGTACGCTTGCTCTTCTACTTCGAGGTATGATGTTCAGATACAGGTCAAGATGATACCTTTGGTATTTATGCACTAGTTTCATATCATTGATGTAGTTTGGGGGAACGGACGTAGCGTCTTTTAAGGATGTGACACTTAACGGAGGTCCTATGTGCTACAATCTGTGCACAATCAAGATTCCAAGATATATACAACTCGAAAAGGAGTCGGCTTTTACCATTGTCCTGGCAAATGTTCTTTTATTGCCAACAGCAAGGCGTTTTTCGTAAACCTAATTAAAATGTAGCATGTAAATCCCTTTTATGTGCCCGTCTTATCCCGTATCCAAAATAATTACTCCGATGGGAATATCTGATCGAATAGACTGATGAATGCCTACACAGAATCAGAATATTTCGATAGAAATACTATAGAAGCCGACTTGTCCCCCTTCCGAATTCTGGGTTACCTTGTAAAATCCCAGTTTTTTTTTTCAGAATGTATAATTTCCTCATGCACAATCCCGAGCCAATTAAATTTGGCTTTGGATATCGATGACCATATTCATTGTTGATGATCTACTGATTAATAATTAAATCATATAAATTGTCATATGTACACTTAATTTGTCCTCACAATCGTAATAAATCCATAGTTCAAACCCATAATATATCATACTAATCTAAAGAAAAGCCAAGCATACTTGACAAATTTGTTTTGAGTTCAGGGCACTCAAACCTATTTATCTGAAGATAAGCTATTTTTTTTAACTTGAGATATAATCAATAGGCATACAATGTTTCATCAAGATCAGATAAATACGTGTCTACAAGCCACATTGAAATATTTTTATCAAGTCAAGGGCAATAACGTAAAAGCCGTTATTTCAAACTTGACCGAAATTTTATTAATATACTATCTTACCATATTTAATCAAAAGTTTTAACAAAAATTGCAAAAAAGGGAAACGATGGAAAGGACGACGGCAACATGGCAACATTCCTGGGCGGGTGTATAAAATTTGATATTAAGTACAATAGACTAAAGCTTCTACTTTCAGTTTAATTCAATTTTTGTGAATAGATTTTCCAAGTAAAAGTTTATCCACATGTTAGTAAAATAACTAAAGTGAAATACGATATACGTGAATAGTATATCTGTAATGATCTCTGCTTGATATAAAGAAAAACACTGTTAAATTGTATATTGTAGTAATCAAAACAGAGGAGTCGCAGTAACATGGTAATTCAGTATCAGTCCTACCCTTTTATGCATAAATTTTGAAGAAAGAAATACAAAACGTTATGCTTAAGAAGACTTATATTGACTAGTTTTAAATTTCACACAGCATATTGTTATTTCCATGAGCTATCCTCATTTGAGATCATTATACATTTGATGTACAGCAACATTCAAAAGTTATTGTTCATAGTGGAGAAATGCAACATTATATTATTCAGAATAACATAAGATTTAAACCACATAAATGGTATGAATTTTTAATTGTTCAAAAATTTAAAGCGGAATTCCCAATTACGTTGGTCCTGGTTATTTTTAATGAAAACGGGCTACGCCATACAGTGAGTAATGGAAATGAAAGACATTTAGCAAGAGAAGACTGGCAAAATTTCAAATTTCAAACATAATATGATGTAAATGTTGTTTCATATAACGTATTAAGATCACAATTTAGCTAGTTACTGAAACCTTTTAATTATAATTTTCGGCAAATGTTTAAAGCTGCGTGGTTCGTTGGCCGATGCGATGTGCGATGTGGGATTATCAAGTGTTGAACATGCTATTTATTGTTCATGTATCTCATAATAATGAAGAGTTTTTTTCGATTAAGTTATCCTACTTTATTCTTGGTATATTTTGATATATTTATTTGTACTCCGAATAATCGAGCTTCTCCTGTTTATGATGCTTTTTCATTCTTTTACTTTTACAACTTCCTGGTTGTTTCTATGAATTTCTATGAATAGAATATGATGACGTAGGTGTACACAATTTAGTAATATGTGATCACTCTGACAGTGTACATTATCTAGACAGATAAGACAGGAATATATGCATATAGGCTAAAATGAGAATTATTCCTTTGTTAGAATTTGGACTGTTGGTAGGATGTTTATTAGTACCATTTGTTTTGAGGTAAGTTCAGTTTTAATAAAACAGAAACCGAAAAACATTTTATTATACGGATGTACAACTTCGTCACAGCTGTCCGTTCGTTCCTCCACAATTGCTTGAAACGTTTGAGAACGGATTTAGACGAGAACTGGTATGCTATAAATGGTGCCTACAAAAAAACTAGACCCTTGAATGCTCCGTGAACAGTACGGGTGCAGTGCGTGTCCGATCTGATACAGCCACAAAACGTTGCATTTTAAAGTTATAGTGGGATTTTTACCGAAAATAAAAGCTATCATTCGGTAGTAAAATTCGACCAACCACTTTAACGTTCCGTAGTGAAAAGTCGCTATAATGTGATAACATTCGGAAGTAAAAATGTTAATATTCGAAAGTAAAAAGTAGATTTTTATAATCGCTGTAAACTGATAATAAACACCACACAGTACAAATGAAGATATATTTGAATAGATCTCTGCAACACAATAACTTTTGTTCTGATCAAAAGGTCAACAAAGGTCAAATGAAATTAATATAAGCCTTACAAGGCTTAAAAGTTTTGAAAATTGCTGTTTTCGGACGCCTCTAAAGCCGAAATAATATATCGGACATAAAAATTCAAAGTACGAATGGGCGTCCTAGATCAATGGCCTTTAACCTTGCAAAGGTCATGGCAGTTCGAAGAAAAATTAAGAAAATACACGTTCCCACATTTCCTTGCAGAAAATTCCAAGGGATATAACGAATTGTTATGATTGATTTAAACTCAAGCAAAATGCATCAAGTGTTTGGTATAAAACTTAATGAATTTATGACAAGAACATGATTTATGAAAAAATGCCCAATCGAACAATCCGCGACTAAGAGTAATGAATATGGCTGATATTCAGTCTAAATATTTAAAAAAAAAAAAACATTTTTCTAATTAGAGCATGATAGCTTGTCCACGTGGTCGGTTTGATCGACTTTTGTTCATTAAAAATATATGCGTGGGATCTTTAATTGGATTGATTTAAACACATTTGTATGGAGGTACTTATCCTTGTGTAATTGAAGAGACAATTTGTTATTTTTTTATCTTGTCTAAAAACATTTTAGATTTTGTCTTTTTGATGAATTTGTTTGTCGTGGATATCAGAAATATTTTAAGTTGAAAAAAGAGTACATTTACTTCTTAACAATGTACCAACATATTCATATATTCACTTCTTCAAATGAAATTTAAAGTACAGTCGGATTTTTCAGTAGATTGAGAAAGTTGGGTTCTCGAGAATTTAAGTAAACTTTTAACAGCTGCTATATTTTGAGGAAGTGGGAAAAATTATGTAAGATGTAGGGAAATATGCCCCCGATATTCGGAAAGTTTCAATATAAAGTATCATACGATATAAACCCAACACCAAAGTTACCAGGATGCTAATCACAATTATTAAGATAGTGGACCACAGCCATATACGCCCACCACGGCATGCAGTAGTAAATATTCAAGATTTTGGGGCAAGGACAATAACTCTGCTTCTAACGGTCGAAAATAGTTTAAATTCGAACTTGATCTTCGTTTTATGAATATGTATACACTTACCGAATTTCATTTGATTCCATCAAAAAATCTATTTTTTAGAGCGTTTACAAGCAAATGTTGACGGACGGACAAACCGACGGACGGACGGACGGACCGACAGGGGTGCCGACAATATACGTCCACAGAGAGAGATGTCGGCGTATAAAAATGGTTCTCATGGCTTGCATTGAAAAAACAAGTTTATCGTTGCCTTCAATTCAATGTGCATTTTCCAGTATTTATTGTACAGTAAAGAAGCAGAGAACAGAATCTTATAAAACACGTTGTTGGAAATTAACGAGCTGGTTTTCTTGCACCAAGCAAAGGTAAGGTTCAGCTTACATGCATAAATAAATACAGCCATTGTCTCTTGTAACATAAGCAATGGGTTCAGAGGCTTTTAACAAAAAGGATCACGACATATAGGCAGTTTGAAAATGACGGTATATTACGGGCCCATGCAGTTTTATTTTCTTAGGGTTTAAACAATAAAACGTTGGTTTTAAACGACTGTAGCGTTTAAGATCGTGACGACCTTTAATGTAAATGCGAGCGAGCAAGATTTGGTGACCAAATATCATAGTGTTCATCAAGAACCTCGCCAAGAGCACCATGAAAGCAATATCGCTTTTGTCCTCGGGTCCTAACTCTATCACTGATGCAGATATATCTGACAATATTTGCCCTTCACCACATAAAAAACAAGCACAAGTACAAGGTTGTATAATTAATACTATACATTGTATTAAGAAACATTTTTGTAGGACAGTAGATTATTATGAAAAAGAGTGTTGTCATGGTTGGACCGGTACAGGTTGTCAGAAAGGTAACAGCGATTTACTTATTGCGTGGAATAAACGTGATCTTGTTTTTATTTATTTTTTTCTATAGCAAAAACTGAAAATACAGATTGTATTGTTCGCCGTTTTTGAGCAGCATACATCTTGATACAATCAATACATAATACTTGATACAAATATGACACACTGACATCAATTAATAGCTCTACAAAAATAATATAGTGTAACTATAAACAAAGTTAACAAAATAATGCATTAGGGTTGATAAGACGGCGGTCAAGTTCGAATTTGACAATTTGTCGATGAACGGTTTTTGAGTTATTGCCCTTGACCTAGTAAAATTGCGCCAAAATGTTGTTGTAGGCATAATAGAAGCTACAATTTTCAGCTGATTTTGATGAAACACGGTGTGAGCATTGGGATTGATAAGACGGCGATCAAGTTCGAATTTGACGATTTTTCGATGAACGTTTTTTGAGTTATTGCCCTTGACTAGGTAAAATACATCAAAATTTACTTGTAAACATGAGGGGGGCTATAGTTTTTATCGGATCTTGATGAAACTTGGTATGCAAGTATATATTAATGAGTAAAGTTCAAATTTGTCTATGTTAGTGTGAATTTGATGATACGTTATTTTCAGACACGAGAGGAGTGATCTTTTAACATAATTGAAAATCATAATTCATGAATTCCATTATTACTATTATACTTTCAGCAATCTGTAGAGGAAGATCTGATTCAACAGCTTGTAATGAATATTTTTCCAATTCCCATATTGTACTAGCTAATAAAACAATAGTAAAGAATAGTGTTGGAAAATGTATTCGACCTGATACTTGTGAATGTCAACAAGATTGGTTTTATTCAGCTGGTTCATTTTGTAATAGTAAGTATATTCAAAGAGCACACCGCTTTTACTGCAATATCGGCCGAACATTTTTAATATTCATAGATTTAATTTTTTGGCGATGCCTCTCTTAAATATATATAAGAACATTTTTGTTAAACCGGAAGTGGTCCATATGGTCCAAGGTAATTGACATTGGCTATCTCTTTATACTTTTCTATTTGATGTCAGATGTCAGCTTCTGGTTTAATGTCCGTATGGATTTTCAAAGTATGGTGACTTATATCTCGTGAACTTAACCTTCGTTGACCTGCTACAAGTTTAAAGGTCACTGATCTTGGCTATCGATAGATACTTTCATATATTATGTAATGTCTTACGAACTCTTCCGGTTTCACAATCTTCATAAACCCAGATGTGTATCGATTTGACACTTTCATGAATATAAATAAAAAACACTTTGATAATCAGAATTCATGTGACCATCCCATTGAAATTCTTAAAAGTTGCAAACTTATGCCTGTCTTTTTGCCTATAGTTATCCAGTGATCTAGAAATGAATATTGTACAACATAAAACTAATTTTCTTTTCAGTCTGTTCACCCATTAATAATTGTGATCTCGAATATTGTACAACTAAAACTAACCAGAGATGTCGGAGATGTGAAGGATTTGTAGCAGATATCTCGTGGTATCGAGCTTATAAAATATCGGGGGATAAAAGAACGTGTAATAGTGAGTAATTTGTTTGTATCAACTTTCTAAAAACATCGAACAATTCACGTTTTTATTTACTCTGGCGCATTTCATACAATCTTATCATCGAAGTTTAAGTCGTTCCTCGCAAAGCCTGTAGTAATATTCTGTTTTCACATGGTAGTGATACCGAGCAAGCAGGTAATATTCTAGAATTGGCATTAAACCGATCGTGCTTTCTAACGGCATGTTGGTTTAACTATGTCAGGGGTCAGAAAAAATAAAAGCGCCCATCATTGTATTTAAGATTTAAGATAAAAAAATTAAGATTTATGATGCAATTCGTGTACACTTGACAATTCAATATAATGTAAGGATGTGATCTTATTTATAGAGGCGTGTTCATGGAGACCAGACAGTAGATGTTATCCTGGTTCATGTAGAGATGAGCTGTTTTCAAATTGTAATTGTTCTGATGGGTTTACTGGAACCCATTGTAATAGAAGTGAGTGTATTAGTATATGTGTAATGATTATTATTATTGTGTATATTAATGCGTATAATCATTACACTAGAGAAACTCCTAGTTTGGGGTATTTTTGAATAAATGATGCGATTTGCGTACATTTCTAGTACTTCTGAAGACTATTTACATATATTCAAGACCCAAATCAACCACAGAAAATGGCGAATTTGTCCCTTTAAATGTAAATAATGTCATATTGGGGTTATTTATTTTCGTTTTAGTTACTGCTATCCCTGATATTCTATACAATCAAGTAACGCTAACTGCTGATAATGGTGAAAGTGTTGGTGCACCTGGTTATTTTGGAGCAGGTTCTCCTCAACCAATAACATGGACCAATATAATGAAACCCAAAGATCTATATTACTCTTTTAAATCAAACTACTATCAACCAAATCCTAAACGTCCACCATTTGTCGTGGATTATAAAGTTGGTATTATTGATGGAAGTATAAGGTTCACAAAATGTAGGTTTCAGTTTCAATATTTGTATTTATTATTATTTTCATTCACCATCTTAGGGTTATGAAGGGTAATCTGAAAGGAGATGCCAGTATTAGGTTATTACGTAGATAGTCAAAGCTATCCATAGGGTTTACCACCGAGACAACGAAGTCATGAGATCCATGGTATTTAATAGTGTCACGCAAACTGAAATCAACGACTTTCTCTTTCAGATGGCCTGAATGGGGTCCAAACACAGACCGTCAGTTGTACCACCATCAGTAAAGATAATCCTAATCAAGGTATATTGGATTGTACTAAAACAATACAACCTACATTCTCTGTTCCCTTCAAACATCTAGAACGGTAAGTGATCACTTGGCTTATAACACAAAAGACAAAAGAAAAGGTCTGACATCAGTAATTTTAGACCAGTCTTGGTTTGAAATCGCTCTTAGAAATCATGTCCTCGAACCAAACAGTCCTCATAGCTTACAATAACTATAGCTTACACTATATGAATTACATACTTTTTTTATTCCTTTTGCAAAATTGTAACATGGTTTTAAAACATTTCTTTTTCAGACTGTCTTTCAAAATAACAACAACTATTGGAGGATTTGTGAAGATAAAAAATTTAGAAAGAAATGTCAACAACACCTACTACTACACACCAAACTCACTCTCACGTGATTTTGAGATTAAATTTGACAATGTACCACCATACCACTGTATACCTGTCAACAATTGTAAAAAAACCATGCTAACTGATATTGACATAACTAAGAAGGTGAACAGAGAAACCACAAATTATTATTATATTGAACTGACGATAAATGGGGCAGGCAAAATTGACAGAAGTAGTAACTGTGTTGTATCATGTGCTATACCATCTGCGATGATAATTTAATCAAATGTTGATATATTATTAACTATTAACACTGAAATGAAATTCTTCATGTTATTATAACCAGTACAAACTGAACTAGCGACGTTGAAATTTCTCTGTAAAAAGTGATGAAATTGGTCAGATTGTAATCAAATATGTAGACAACCATTTCCTTGCTAAGATATTTTGTTGTATCTACATTAACAAAGTATCTCAAATCTTGCCAGCAGGTTGGCTGCAGTTCAAATGTAGCCTACACACATCTGATCAGCATCCACATAGAAATTCAAAAGAAAAAGGTTCGATATTTATTTTTTATAGGTAGATAATACGGTTTATTGGGACGGTTGGATTGACAATGATTCTGGTATAGCTATATATGAACTAGAAATATTCAGCTTGAAGTCTACAGGAAATGAACTAATGATAGACAAACGAGTATTCGACACGAACACTACTTTGGTAGGTATTGATGATGTATAATTTTATCCTCGGAAACCTTTTCTTTAATATGACAGCCACGATTCGTTGCTTAGATATCTTCTTCGACCTCAATGTGATATAAATTTAAAAAAGAATCCTACCCACGAAGAAAACTATGTTTATTCTCTTGATTCAAATGGGCGGGGACCCGTTGACATAAGTGGATTGGGGCCACCTCTCTCCACCCCCCCCCCCCCC